TTCCTTCCTTCCTTCCTTCCTTCCTTCCTTCCTTCCTTCCTTCCTTCCTTCCTTCCTTTCTTTCTTTTTTCATCTGTATGCCTGGAAGTGATGCTAGAACCACTTAAGATCCCATTCACCTAAGCATTTATTAAGCTGGGCTTTGAAGGTACAAGTAACCCTTGGCAACAAATATACTTTCTTCACTTAACACAGGGGAAAGTACTTAGTGCATGAATTTTCTGAGTCTCTGGCAGCGTGTAGTACTTGGATATGTTTTAATTTCATACAGCTTGAACTTGGCCTGCCAGAGACTACACAGAAGGATAAAAGTGGCAAATGAGAAAGCAAGGAGCCCTTAAATTAATTTGTTGGCTTTGACAGAAACAGCATGAGGTTTATGAGAAACATAGTTTGATAGGTAAATAGAACCATGTGCTGGTGGCCAAGGAAGCAAATATTACATGTAACATCAGTTGCAGTCATTTAAATCATGTTATTTTATAACAGCCCTATTTTTCTCTGCTTGCTGTTGCAGTATAGTTTATTAAAAAATTTTAGAAGGAAGCAAACTCATTCTGTTGCCTTTTTGTTTTCAGAGCCCAGAGATCTACTTATGAATAGTGGCAGTCCATAAATACGTGATTGGGTTGAGTGCCTTTTCACTCTCTGGAATGAATTCCTTCTAAATACAAACCAAGACTTCATGCACATGGTTTAAAAATCATTTTATCTTTTTGTTCAGGCTTAAAGAATTTCCTTATCTTTCTTTATTGCTATATTTTTTTATTGTCAAGCTTTTTTTTTTTTAAAGGAAATATGACTACAGCAGAGCTTATATATGAACTAACAGTAGACTTAAGTTCGTAGGTTCCTAATTAATGGTGTTTCATGATAACGCCTTGAAAAGTATAAAAGGGATTAGCTTTGAGGTATGATTGAAGTAGTGTGGTTTATCTGACCCAAGTGTCTTCTGTTCCTCTTTACAGGTAATGTTGAAATCAGGCACCAACATACTTTACTGGAGAACCACTGGCATCCTTATGGGTTCTAAGGCAGTCAAGCCGGTTTTGGTAAAAAATATCACAATTGAAGGTATTGCACAGCAATTTTTTTTAGTAGTCACATATCAGAATTTGGAGCTTGTTAAAACATTTATTAAATTGTTGGTTTGGGTGGCTCAGGGTTTATGGGGCAGGAATTAATACGTTAGGCATTGTACATGTCTAGAGATCCTGGTTTTAATTTTGGCAAGTTGACTGGCTTTTTTTTTTTTTTTTTGTACACTTAAACTAAATTAATTGAATCTGTGTGAAAAAGAAAGCATGATACAATTTCAGTGTCTCTACATAAAATAAAAGGATCCTTGTTAATAAAACACTATTCCTCATTCAAGAAATGTCTATTGTACCAGACATTGAGCCCGCCCAGGTCACTGTAAAAGCCACAGAAATAGAAATAAAATAAACTCTTTCTGTCTCCTGAACCTCTTTTGCCTCTCTGAACCAGCCAGGCATTTGCTGGCCCAGGAGAGCCGGCAATAAACCCTGGCAAGGTTCATTCTCAATTAGGGCTACTTTTAATTAAACCAGTCATTCTCCTTTATTAATGGCTTATATTTTACTACGTTCATACTGGTTCCTGTGACACTAACTCATTAGTCATAGGGACATCTGCTGGCAAAGGCTGGAATTACAAACCAGAGGAAAAGGCCATTTGTGCCAGGGTCGGCTAGGTCAGAGGGAGCCGAGTTGTCTTTTGACTACTCAGTTTATAATTTTGTATACCTCTGTCACATCTCACCCTCTTGTTAAAGTGTTTGCTCTCCTTAGGATGTTTAATCTATCCCAGTGTTTTGCACACAGTAAATGCTTCCTTGGTGTTGCGTGGATGGGATAAAGGATCCTGGCTGACTACTACTGTTTCTCTCACTTCTGATAGAAGCAGCAAGAAGGCGCTGATGTGCGTGTTGTTGGTGGGTCCTCCCTCCCATGTTCTGTTTTTCATTACCACACAGGGGTGGCATACACGTCAGAATGCTTCCCGTGCAAGCCGGGCACATTTAGCAACAAACCAGGTTCGTTCAACTGCCAAGTCTGTCCCAGAAACACCTACTCTGAGAAAGGAGCCAAAGAATGCATAAAGTGTGATGAGCACTCCCAGTTTTCGGGTAAGACCAGGCTTTGCCAGCTTATGCTCTTTGTTCTTCTCTCTCTAAATTTATGTTTGTTGAGAGTGTAGTGTCTTTAGCCAGAAGTCACACACCAAATGGGGTGGGAAGAGTGTGTCAGAAACCAAGTGTTGAAGGGAATCAGTATTGAATGGAGAAAATACGACTTCTTCTTACCCCTTAGTGCGTGACTTTTCCATTTATCACTTTTTCTGTTCCACACTCCACAGGGATCTATTTCTCCCCGTGCTTTGGTTATATGTACATTAATCTAAAAAAAAAAATCATAGTGTAATTTTACATGATTGGTTGGCATAGACATGTGCTTGGAAAATTTCCATTTATTTCAAATTTACAATGTTCAGTGATAATGGAAAAAATCAATGTCTTATTGGAAAAAATTATGGTATGTTTCTTGTGTATTATGGGAACATTTGTTGCTCTAGGGTAAATAAAAATGCAGGCTTTTATTTTCCTGAGGCCTAGCTAGTTCTTCTTAAATTCATCTGGTGTAAGGTTATTTTAAATTTTTAGTTGTCTGGGTTTTTTTGTTTGTTCTGATTTTTTGCCTTTTTCGAGAGTCACAACATAAATGATTCATTTCTGAAATGCGTTTTTGTGTTGCAGAGGAAGGATCCAGCCAGTGTGTGGAGCGACCTCCCTGCACCACAAAAGACTATTTCCAGATCCATACTCCGTGTGATGAGGCAGGAAAGGTACAGGCTGTGTTCAGTCCACTGCATTCCCTGGTAATCCAACCTTCTTCCCAATTGGAGCAGCCTCCAGTTGGTTCCTGAGACACTTAAATGAGTTGATTTATAATGCATGTTTGTAAGTAGGACGGAGGAAGTCTAAGAATGTAGATTCTCAAGCTTGCTGCCCTGCTTTGATTTTACACTAGTACTTATTAGTGCTGTGGGCCTTTTATTTGCTCTAAGTCTGCTTTTTCATCTGTAAAATGGGGCTAATATCACGTCTTACTTCACAAAGCTGTACTGAGAACGTAAGACACCCTCCGGCTGCGGGTCCTGGTGTTGTGTCTGTCCTAGAGCGAGTGCCCCTAAAGGACTGCTATTTTAACACTAAATTTTTTAAAAGATTTTATTTATTTATTTGACACAGAGAGAGAGAGACACAGTGAGAGAGGGAACACAAACAGGGAGAGGGAGAAGCAGGCTTCCCACTGAGCAGGGTGTGGGGCTTGATCCCAGGACCCTGGGATCAGGCACGATCTGAGCCAAAAGCAGATGCTTAATGACTGAGCCACCCAGGCGCCTCGACACCTAATATATTTTTTTTTTTTTCAAAAATAATTGGATCAGGAGGAGCGCAGCCCTAAAATGTGTACTGTGACTCACAGGATGGAAATATCCTGAAACTTCTCTTTAATTATTTGTTTCCTCAGTCGGTTTGATCAGTAAGAGCCATGCAGCCATAGGCAAATTCAGTTATGGCCGATGACGTTGTAATTGCGTTTAGAAAATGCAGAGTAATTACCATACAGATGGCACTTTGCCAGAGGAAAAATGCACACACGAACCCTGCGGTTGATGTGGCATTTTCTGTCTTACAGTGAGCCTGTAAAGTGTATGTCAGTAGAGAAACTGAGATTCAAGTGGCTGCCAGGGCATCCGAGGTGCCCAGCCGGTTAAGCCCTGCACTCGGGTTTCTCCTCAGGTCATGATCTCAGGGTTGTGATCGAGCCCCAGCGCCCGACTCTGTGCTCCGAGCAGTTTGCTTCAGGTTCTTTCCCCCCTCCCCCTTTCCCTCTCTGCTCACGCTCTTCCTTTCTGTCTCTTTCTCTCAAAGGAATAAATAAAATCTTTAAAAAAGTAGCTGGAATGCAGCACTCCCTCCTTGCGTTTACATCTTTTATATCATGGCATTTAATTTCTTGACCTAGTTTGGAGATATATGTACATGTCAGTATTGCTTTTCTTTTCTTAATTTTGTATCCTTAAGTTCTAAGCTGTACTTTTTATATTTGTGTGATTATTAATCTCATCTTTAGTCCTCAAATTATTTTTAGGAATTGTCTTTTGAGTACTTAAGACCAAGCTCATTCTAGTATTTGCAGGAGAGCCATTACTTACTCAGAATAATTCTACTTAGAATAATTCAGAGGAAGGACAGTTTAAATTAGTGGAAAATTTTAATAATTAGAAGTATATGTATTATTTTTAATAAGAACAGTAACTCAAACAGTCATTAAATTAGAAGGAGTTTTGAAGTAAGATCTCAATGGTCCTATAATAATGGCCAAGGAAGGATTATTTCCATTTAGAAAATACATGTGGAGAGCCACTAAGATGAGTTACAGTTCTTTACCTAAACGTTTTTTAGTTAAACTTGTCTTATTAATAAGTAGGGCAAATTGAATTTGTTTTATTCTCTATACTAATCACTAATTGAGCATCACTGAAGCTTAAATCAATGAGATCTAATATACAAATGGTTCTTGTCTTTGCTGTGGTGAAAATATTCAAAAGTCCTATTTTTATTTTGTCCGTAAGTAGTTTATTACATCAGTGAGTAGTGTGATAAAATGTAGTTGACCTGGGCCTAAAGGGAGTAAAACCATGCATTAAATGTAGAATGTACAGAATACACACACAGGCGCACGCGTGTGCGCGCACACACACACACACACACACCTGTGTACACGTAAGCACCCACAGGCATTTTGTGTTCACATGTACACACAAACTACATTTTCCTATTGAGTCTAGGTGAACTCTGAACACGTTCTCAGTATAGAACACATTGCACTTGATCTCCATCAACTCAGTGATTCTTTAAAAAGTGATTTAAGACTTTTTTCAAGAGAGATGTGTCTAGCTTCAGGAGTTAAAAAAAAAAACAATAGAAGCTTAATTAACTGATACAGTAGAGAAATGTAGATTATAGATGGGAATTTTAATCTTTTTTCTATTTCTGTTGGTTTCAACCTTTTCATGTGTTCTGGTTTCCTCTTTTAAAAAGATATTTTATTCTTGCTTGGCCCAGCCTGATGATTTGCTGGTGGCTTAGTGATGTTTTCAGGTCATTCTATGACTGTGGCTCCTTTTGTCCTGTCATTCTCTCTTTGATGTTATTTTCCCCTTGCTTGGACAGCATCCTCAAGGGAAGCAACTACTGAGGTTGACAGACTTTGAACATAATCATGTATATGCCACAGGACTGGTACAGGTTTCTCTGTTCATTTGAAGCTCAGGTATTTGATTGCTTCCCCTCCTATAGGGAACATTTTTCAGAAGTATTTTAATTAGTAACGGAAACCCTTCTAATCCTGGTTGAGAGACTTTCATTAACATCATGAAAATTGCGGTGTTTCTGCTCACTCATTCATTTATTCAGTGAGTCTTCCTTGAGCACTGGTTATGTTACAGAGTGCTGGGTGATGAGGGCAGAACCAAGGAGAGGCAGAAGAAGGCAACTGTCTTCATGGAGGGTAGAGCGGTAGTTGCCAATTTTTTGTTTGCAGCAGACACCCCTGGTGGTTCCTGTCCTCAGTTTTCTGTTTCAGTAGATCTGGGGCAGGGCCTGAAAATTGATATTGCTCAGAAGTTCCCAGGTAATTCTGATTCTGCTGCTCTAGGATCTCACCAATTTGAGAACAAGTGGTCTGGATTTCAGAGGAAGAGATGGTCTGTCAAAAGAAAAGAAATTATTTCCAGCTCTAGATTAGTGCTACAGCAGAGAAGTCTCAAGTTTTATGGGGATTGGACCCAGTCTGGGAAGGCTTCAGAACTGTATGAACTCTTGGCCAAGGTGTGGAAGAAGAGCTTTTCTGGGAAAGGAGCAGGATGGTGATGATCTGATGTGGGAAGGAGCATGGTAGAGCTGAAGAGCTAGTAGGGTCTGAGTGTGACTGGACTGTGGGGGGGTCGAGGGGGTGGCATTAGCTGCATCTAATGACACAGACTCATGCTAGAATGGGGAGGTTTTGTAGTGGTGAGTCACCTTGAAATTTTTGAGTATGTTTTCAAAATGTTCAGAGCCCACTTTCTACATAAAATGAGATACACTCATATGGATGCATACACATGCACAGATTCAGTGCTTGACATTTGAGCTAAAAATATCTTGACCTCGGGGAGCCTGGGTGGCTCAGTCAGTTAAGCATCTGCCTTTAGCTGAAGTCATGATGCCACAGTCCTGGGATTGAGCTCTGCATTGGGCTCCTTGTTCAGCGAGGGAGTCTGCTTCTCCCTCTGCCTGTCGTTCCCCCTGCTTTTAAAATCTTAAACTTTTAAATTTTAATTTATGCTCTTAAAATCTTTAAAAAATTTTGACCTCGTTAATGGCCACGTAGTCATCAAGAGAAGGCATCTTTTGATGTTAGCACCATATTTGATAGAGCCTCTCATGATCTCCGTACAGCTAAGATAGAGAACTGTGGACTAAATGATATGGTTAAGAGGATATATGTCTAATTGAGAAACTATATGTAAAATATTTGACTTAATAAATGGATATATCAGTGAGGAATGTAGTTGATATTAACTAGTAGTATAGTTGGTATCATGTATTTGTTACAAGAATATAAATTCAATAACATAATTATGCATATCCTAAGTCATACCATGAAGAATATGAGGACACATGAGTACAATCAATATTTGATTTAAAAATCCTCACCTTGCTTGAGGATATTGGGAATAAGTATGTTAAATTGTACAGCAATAATGCTGGGGAGAATGACAGAAGTAAAATTTAGAGACCCCAATGTGCTAGCACATTGAGCTCAAATTAGCGAAGTCAACATTTATTTTCGTCAAAGTGTCAGATATAGAAGAATTCAGAAAAGAGAAAACATTAACTTGACAAAAACATTTTGAAGAGAATCTAAGCTTTAGAACCTGGCTTACCAAGTAAAACAATACAACAGAGATTTATTTATTTATTTATTTATTTTAAAAGATTTTATTTATTTGACAGAGAGAGATCACAAGTAGGCAGAGAGAGAGAGAGAGAGAGAGAAGCAGGCTCCCTACTGAGCAGAGAGCCCAATGTGGGGCTCGATCCCAGGACCCCCGAGATCATGACCTGAGCCGAAAGCAGAGGCTTTAACCCACTGAGCCACCAAGGCGCCCCAATGCAACAGACATTTAAAGAGGGAAAAAACCTCCCAAGAGTACAAAGGATACTTATCTTTAATTAAGAGGGTTCAAGGCTAAAAAACAAGTTGCTCATTTGTTTATCATATCCACAAAGGTTGTCTTAGATCTGCTTGCGGAAGTTAGAGGGATAAGGCAGTTTTGTCAGGGCATCTGCCACGTATAGACAAGGCTTAAGCTTTTACTTATTTTGGGTACAAGAACTCCATAGAAGTAGTAACATTCATACATACATACATACATACATTTATCTATCTATCTGTCTTTTATCTCAGGGAGAAAAGTAATTCCCTCTCCTGCCCTGACTGTGGACAAATAAAAATTATTATTTTTATTATTATGTTCAATTAGCCAGCATATAGTACATCATTAGTTTTTGATGCAGTGTTCATCGATTCATTAGTTGCATATAACACCCAGTGCTCATCCCAACACGCGCCCTCCTTAATACCCATCGCCTTGTTACCCGTCTCCCCAGCCCCCAACCATTCTTCCAGGGGTGTGGGATACTCTGGTCCAACAGCTTCATTCACCAGCTGAGCCCTACGGCTGGGCTGCCAGACTCTGTTAACTCCTTATTCCTGTCAGTGTCACACAAATCAGCTCCTAAAGGGGAAAAGATGGTGTCGGTTACCACAGTAAAAAGAGACTGATTCTGTGCTGGTTCACAGAACTTGCCTACTCTTAAAAAACATGAATAGATCTGCCAAAGTTGTCTTGATGCTGGGAATTCCCACAGAATTTTTGGCACGCCTCTCCTGATATTTTCAGAGTGGTCATAGGTTTGCTAGTGTTTTGGTATCAGATCACTGTTGCAGATACAGTTCTTGTAAAGATGACCAGGATCTCAGCTTCCTGTAGACAGAAACACATTCTTAATCACTTAAAAAAAAAAAAAAATCTGTAAGCTTAATAGAGTACCCGGAACACAGAAGGTAATGAAGCATCTTTTGAATAAATTAATGAATGAGAAAGTTAGTGAGTGAATGTAAACATATTTAGAGAATTGTGTTTTGTCCTTCGCAGAAGGCTTGAGAAAATTTTGACAAACTGGGCAGAATTTAGAGAAGAGAGACCAGGATATTAAACTATTTGATATGAAATATGGTTGAAGTTGCTGGTAATTTGTTTTCAGGTTGGGGAAAAGACCACAGGATGGAAGAATTTGGATCATATTTCTTACATGTTCTACTTGTCCCAAAGAGATTTGATCTCTTCTCTGTGAATATCCATGACATTTCATATTTCTCTTCAAACTGATGATGGTGACCATAATTATGGAAATAGTAGTGACGGTATCAGTAGCAGAAGCATCTGTCACTTACGTAATTGTGTGCACCCTCACTGTGTGTGTGCTTGTGTATGCAGACATGGCCTCTAATTCTTTTTTTCAATAGCTGTGCAATTTAGACATTATTATACCCAGTTTTTAGACGAGAGAACTGAGGCTTAATGAGGTTAAGTAATTTCTGGAAGTTTATAGGTAGCCACAGCCAGTAATCTTAAGACTGGAATTCTAACCCTAATTGTGTCTGCTTCCAAATCCAGTGCTTTTGCGTCTTCTTCACATATTTTCTTTTTTTATATTCTAGCACTTTGTGAACCCATCTTGTCACTATTAGACTGGAACCTCCTCAGAGCAAATTGTCTTGTTAATATTTAAATTCCCCACAGTGTTTTCTTCTATACAAAATAGGTGCTTAATAAGAACTTCCTAAGTAGTAAGCTGAAGCATTTGATAGGAAATCACAGAAAAGAGGAAGCAGACTTTTCTGTATTATTCCATAAGGGAGAATTTGGGTGAAATTTTAGAAGGTAAATTCCATTGGTGCATAATGATGTTCAAACAAGCAGAGCTGCCCACTTCTGGAACAGAATGTTTTGTCAAAGAGCAAACTTGCAGCCAAGGCTAGAAGGGTGCCTGCCAGGGCAGGATGTTCTAGAAGGAAGCCTGGAGAGGGGACATTTGACTATACAACTTAGTCATCCCTGAGGCTAGGAAATTGATGGAATATGTCTAGTACTTTCTTTGTCCTTTAATGAACTTCACTATTACAAGTTATTCCAAATGTTCAATGTCTCTTATGCAGTACTTGTGAATTACATAGCAAAGTTAAGGTGTAGGGGACATTAAAAAGTCGGGTATAGGGGCACACTGGGTATAGTGGGTTAAGCCTCTGCCTTTTGCTCAGGTCATGATCTCAGGGTCCTGGGATCGAGTCCCACATCGGGCTCTCTGCTCAGTAGGGAGCCTGCTTCTCTCTCTCTCTCTCTCTCTCTCTCTCTCTCTCTGCCTACTTGTGATCTCTCTCTCTCTGTGTCAAATAAATAAAATCTTAAAAAGAAAAAAGTCAGGTATAAAGGGATACAGCTCTTAGAACTGCCTTTCTTGATACGCAGTTTAAGTAAGTCAAATATAATTGGGAACTGTTTCTGAATTAGGATGATGGGGAAAGACCATCGCATTTCTCAGTGATTAGGGAGTTCAAATTTGTAGAAATTAAAATTTCATGATAGTCTTCTTTAAATTATTTTTAAAAACAGCTTTATTGAGATTGAATTGTCATATTAGACACTGTATCCTTTTAAAGCCTCTGTTCAGTGTTTTCAATATTTTTGCCTCCATCTAATGTTAGAATATTTCCTTGCCTAAGGCCCTGGCTACAGTCTCCAGGATAATGTTCCATCCCCACACTGTCTTCCACATAGAGGAAGAAGAGGGGCTTTGATGCATTTAGAGAGGGAACAAGGATGTAACCACAAGGGAAAAGAGAAAACAGTAGAACCTTCATAGAAAAGGAATTCAAGTAGATGCTGATACATAGACGGGTGAGCAGAGGAGAGTCTTAGAGCGCATTGGACGTTGAGCATCAGTTTGAAGGAGGCAATGGATGCAACTTGGCAGAATGGTGTGGGCCGTCAAAGAGACAGATCATGAGGGCCCAGTGTCTCGTTTCTGGAAAAGATCAAGGATTGGAAAAGGCAGGAAGGCAAGCAATAGCCCACCTGGTTGGGAACATACAAGTCAGAACATTATAGAGTGCAAGGTGGCAGGCTGGAGTGGCAGTTGGTAGACTTGTAAAGCACATGTCATTTGACTCTGATTAATTCAGCCAGTCTACAAATGTGTAGGGACATTTCAAGGAAGAAAGCTGGCAGCCATGGACAGATATATTCTCAAAATTTGTCTAAATTTTAGTCTTCTCAGTCCTGTATTTTTTTTTTGACATGAGAATTGATACCTACATGTGTTTCTTTAAAATATATTTTATTCATGCTTAATATAAAATACTCGGATACTATAGGTTTTCTCTAATCTTACTCGCAATCTGATAGATTTTGCTATATTAGGGCTTTTTGGTTTCATAAAATATTTCATTATTTTATCTCGACTTGCCAAAGAATGAGTTGATTGTTGGTTTTTCACCTGCACTATGAGCCATCTGGTGTTAAGTATCATTTATATTATTATCTTTCCCCAGCCAGCTCCACCTGATAGCATCTGTCCCCAGTAGAAAGAGAGGCATAGACTCAACCTTCCATGTGAAGCAAGAAGTCACGTAAATGCAACTTTTACTCTAGAGCTTTGAAATTTGGCTTCTCACTGTTTAAATATTTAAAGGTGGTGCACATTTTCTAATTTTTAAACATTTACTGTGCTTGGATTCAGAATCATGTGATCAGCTGACTTGTCAAAAATATATTTCCTTATTTTACTCTTTTTACCCTAACTGAACTGACCCTTCTTGAGTGTTACGTCACTCTTTATGAGTTTTGCCTAATTCTTGGGCAAGTTGTTCAACAACTCTCAGCCACAACTTCCTCATTTATAAACTTGAGGACAATAGTAACGACTTCCCACAGTGGTGGAGAGGCACGCAAGGCGTGCCCCCAGGATCAGTGCGTGTGCTCAGCCTCAACGCCACCCCCACTCCCATGCGGGAACTGCCTATTTTCAACAGTGCAATAGCTCACACCTAATACAATGTGATTTTAATTTGTGTCAAAATAAATCAACAAATTTGTGACTTCAGTGGGTCGGAAACTTGTTCTTTCTACTTGCTAAACTGGATTTTTAGAAAGACAATCCCCCAGATATAATAATGTTTTATTTGCTTAGATTCTCTGAATTTTGTACACCCTTTTTCAGAGGAATTGAGAACCCCTTATGGATACAGGCTCTAGGTAATTTTTTTTTTTTTAAGCTGTTGAGGAAGCCTCAGCAGGAGTGGCATCATTTTACAGATGGGTAGAGAGGCAGTTGGGTGCAGTGACTGGTTGAACTGTATCATGATGTGGGCCATAAAATGAATGTAGATAGAGAGTTATAAAAGGAAAAATATGTTATTTATAATTGTTGAGACATCTACCTTTTAAGCCATTTCCTTAATCATCCTTCTTCAGATAAGGTAATTTGCTCTTCCATAAGAGAATACTTGAGAATAAAATTGAGTGGTCTAAAGGGTGTGCTATATTTAATTTCCTATTAACTGAAAATAGCTATAAAGAACTGCCTTTAATTTTGTTTCTCCATCTTCAGTATTAGACTTATTATTGCAAGTTGTTTTAAAGGAGAAAACATTCTTTCATTAGATTATACGCCTAGTGAAGGAACTGGAGTCTTGTTTTAAAAACTATAGTTATGAAGTTGTTTTTCCCTTTGCATTTAAAATAACTTCTTATTTTTACTGAGCATATTGATTTTGTTTGTGAAATGGCTAAACCATTTAATTTTTCTGTTTTCACAAAGAGAGTAATTTTATAATTGCAACTTTCTGGATTTGGCTGAGTTATAGTGATCTTGTGTATTTTGTGTCACATAGGGGTGTGTGTATGTGTGAGAGAGAATGAGAAGATAAGGTTTAAAAGACTTCTGTCTTTTAAAGTAGAGGTTGTCTTAATTCTGATGGTAGAAGCATCTGCAACAGGGCCCAGAATTAGAAGTACTTTAGCTATGGTTCTTGTGATTTAACATCAGGTTATTGGAAAAGATTCAGAGAGCAACCACATGTATTTGTGAAATGCAGGATTGAAATGTGAAGCTAGACATTGTCTTTTTAAAAACGTACACCTTTTCTTTTGCGATCAGATTGTGCTAGGCATGGTGATAGGTGCTGAGGGTGAGGGAGAGGAAGAGAGTACTGAAGGTCTCCAAACGGAAAAGGCAGTCTGCCCAGAAGCCTATGTCATTAAGGAATAAAGTGCGTGGGTGGCTGTGAGAATGAGGGTTATAATCCCGTATCTATACTTCGAAGTGGAATTCGATGATGATGAATGTGCTGATAGATGCTGTAAGGCCCACCTGTAGCTCATAGTAAAAACATGTGGACATGTGGAAGTAACGGCCATTCTCCCAACCAAAGCTTTTTTCTTTTTATCTCATTCTGTTACTAATGGTTTAGATTCTTTTCACCTGGCCCTTCTGTTCTTTCACTATTTGACTTTTCCTAGGCTTTCTGTTTAATGTTTTTATTACGGAAAAGTTAAAGCAAATAAAGCATCTTATATGACCTGCAAGCTTTTTTTCCCCCTGCAGACGCAAATTATGTACAAGTGGATAGAGCCCAAAATCTGCCGGGAGGATCTCACAGATGCTATTAGGTTGCCCCCTTCTGGAGAGAAGAAGGACTGTCCCCCTTGCAACCCTGGATTTTATAACAATGGATCATCATCTTGCCATCCCTGCCCTCCTGGAACATTTTCGGATGGAACAAAGGGTAGGATACCAGTTGGACCTTTAGTAAAATAATCTTGCTGGACTATTGTGACATTGTTCTTCATTGCTTTTACATAAGACTTATTTATAAAACATACTTATCTCACAGAGACTGAAGAAGAGTTGAGAAATATAATGAATTGTGAGGTGGCAGTGCCTTCTTTAACATACCACAAGGATGGTTTTTTCTAGGCATTTTGTATAATACGTGTAATACCCTCTTCACTGGATGACTCACTCTGCCTTTGAATGTTGATAAAAAAATTCCACCATAGGGAGGCCTGGGTGGGCTCACTTTGTTAAGCATCTGCCTTTGGCTCAGGTCATGATCTCAAGGTCCTGGGATCGAGTCCAGCATCGGGCTCCTTGCTCAGCAGGGAATCTGCTTCTCCCTCTCCCTCTGCCCAACCTGGCTCCTCCCTCCCCCACTCATGCTCTCCCTCTCTCTCTCAAATAAATAAAATCTTAAAATAAAATCTCAAATAAATAAATAAAATAAAATCTCAAATAAATAAAATCTTAAAATAAAATCTTAAAAAACCATTCCACCATATTAAGTGTTAAGGATAGGCACTCTTTTTCCAGTGAGTGGTATGGATAAGGATAAGCACTCTTTTTCCAGTGATATATTTATACAAGTATAAATTATAACCTCTTCTAATTCAGCTTTGGAATCATAAATTACATTTTGTACTATAGTAATAGCAAAAAATTACTTGTCTTGAACATATGGCAGTGAAGAGAGTCTCTTAATTTTTCAGGGTGTACAGTTGAGAAAATGTTAGTGCTTATCAAATAATATAGAAAGCACTGCAGAGTTTGTTTTAATTTTGATAGACAAAAATTACAATGTATTTCAGTTGTGGTCATCTCTCTTGAATATAGCCAGGCTATCTGCTTACTACCCAGAGCCTTTGGTAGATAGCACAAGAGGGACTTAAGAGTCTGATTAACTTGGTTTTGAATCCACATAAAACAGGCAGCCATTAGTGTGATTAATCCAAGTTCCTTAAATCTTTTGAACCTCAGTTTTCCCACCCTTAAAATTGTGAGTAATAATATTTAGCTCATATTCTTTGAACAGGTTATGTAAAAATGTGTATAAAGTACTCTGGTGTCCAGAAGTGTTTGCTCAGTGAACATTTCTAAGGACATGATTAATGCAAGTGTGTTGGATAAATTCGGAAAGGGTTGGACAGGATCCTTCCATTTCATTGTTGCACATATTAATTTAAATCAGGCTTATTGATAAACATGACTCTCAACTCCCAGTATCATTTTTCAACGTAGCCAATATTTTGTATTTCAAGTAATCAGTCCATAATTAAATGGTACTCTGTTAAGTTTAATAACCAATAGGAAGGCTGAAATAGTTCCTTGTTCATGAGGTAGAGGGAACTGATCTTAAGAGCACATACAAGAGAACTAGTTTCAGGTTACCCTTCTTGTGCAGGGTGATTGATATTAGCAGTTACTCTCAGAAATGAAGGAAAAAAATAATTTTAAAATATTTTATATTGATCCTTTTCCTTTTTCATGTTAATCAAGTGTATATGGGTAAACTATATCCAGAAATATTTTTCTTTCCAGATTATTTTAGAAAAAGTTATTAATTCTTAAGAGAATTGATGCTCTACTATCTCTCCTTCCTGCATTCCTCTCTGCTAATTAAAGTTTAGTAGTATTTAGAACGGAGGAAGAGGAAGATGTCCAAATGCAATTTAACTGTAATTATCTCCTTCACCTGTTTCTCATAGAATGTAGGCCGTGTCCAGCAGGAATGGAGCCTGCGCTTGGGTTTGAATATAAATGGTGGAATGTCCTTCCTGGCAACATGAAAACTTCCTGCTTTAATGTTGGGAATTCAAAGTGCGATGGAATGAATGGTGAGTTCAGAATCGGCCTCCTGGACATATTGGGTCATAGACACTCTTGGGCCCAGCTCTCTGAAAACATACCAAATGTGGGTATGTGGAACTTCATTCTTGTCCATTGGCTTACTTGTCTGCCTTCCAGCCCTCACACGGAAATGGTGAATGGGGTGTCACAACCAGTTGACTTCTCTGTAACAGTATGAACTATTTTGCATTTTTTTGGAGTCAGCTTTGAAGTAGATATTCAGGCTCACCATTGATGGTTATAAATGTATTTAGAGTAGCTCACCAAGGGATGTAATGAAATCCATGTCACTTGCCATTTCGAAGAACAGGATGACAGCATTTCTGCCAGCATTGAGTCTGGCTCAGGACTGAGCTGTGTTGAGAGGTGAGGTCAACTCTAAGTCCCCTTCCCTGTGAAATCTATGATTGTGTGTAAAAAATATATGTAAGCCCCACTTATTGAAAACTTGAAAATGTGACAGAGTTTTATGAGATTGTGGCTGAATTTTATTTGTTCCAATATTTTAAGACCCGAGAGAGGCTAGCACTTAGTTTTCTGCAATATTTTCTGGTTGAATGAATGACAGTATCTATACGTGTATTTTTTTTAAAAGATTTTATTTATTTATTTACAGACAGAGATCATGAGTAGGCACAGAGGCAGGCAGAGAGAGAGAGTGGGGGAAGCAGGCTCCCCACCGAGCAGAGAGCCCGATATGGGGCTCGATCCCAGGACCCTGAGATCATGACCTGAGCTGAAGGCAGAGGCTTAACCCACTGAGCCACCCCGGAGCCCCTATACATGTATTTTTAAACTTAATGCTAGGAGTAGCTATTCACAAATACTAGGGTTTTATACCAAAATGCATCCTTTTACTTTCATCATCTCCTTAGCAATTTTAATGAGCCCACTTTTTCTCCACATTACATTTTGTTGTTTTAAAAAATTCTTTTAAATTGCTTCTGTTTTAAGTCAGTACCTATCTGAAATAAATATACTTGGGATGTAGGAAGTGAGGTGAACACATGAAAACGAAGATTGAAAAAATAGTAGGTCCTTGAATACTTCCACTTCTAGGAAGTTATCCTAAGGGAGAAGAAGAAAAAATACAGTAGTAATTACTTGACCATGAGGGTTTATGTTCCTAAAAGATCCCATGATTGAATTCTAAGTTGAAGAAGTTAAGACTTATGGAGGGAAAATAAGATTGGGAAGGCCAGGGAATTGAAAGAACTCATGAAAGCATCGATTGTTTGTGTGTGTGTGTGTGTGTGTGTGTGTGTGTGTGTTTATTCACTTACTAGTAAAGATTATCTGGAACTTTTACTTGATCTTTTGGAGAACTTGGTCTAACTCTCATGATAATACTCAATGGTAGCCACTTGCTTCCTCCCTTACCTAGAGGCTAAAATGTACATTTTTGATAATTTTCAGAAATGTTTAATTATTAATTTGAAAAATAGACATCTCTTCACTATTAGTATGTGATATTAGAATAACAAATAGTCATGTGAAAAATATAACACAAAAATGAAGATAAAAGGTGATGTGTATTTTTATGCCTGGACAGTTCAGCTTTGAGAGGAATAGCATGACAAGAATGGGGACCAAAGTGAGAGGCCCAGGAACAGCCTGTGTCATGAGGGGATCACCCAGTCATCGGTTCAAGTGGATGTGCTTTGGCTAAATTGACTGTGTGACTTGGAGTACTTGGACATTCATGTCTTCTCAGTCTGAATTGTACATAGTTGCAGACCAGATACACAGAAGTACATCTTCATATATTGCAAGTTTGCCTTAAAGTTACCCATAGTTGGAGAGAAGTTACTGTTTATGCATGAAGATGTTCAGTGAGCATTATCTGTAATCACAGAAATTGAAATAGTCTAAGTATCCAGCAAAAGATTATGTTTATGAAAGTTATGCTGTACTGATAGAAGAAATATTATGCAAACATTTAAAATGGCAGTCACCTGGAAAACAATTTGACAGTGTTTCAAGAATTTTGAATGTTCTTCTTCAACCCATTTATTCCATTTCTGGGAATTTATACCTGGGTAACAATGTAAAGGTGTAAAGAAAGAAATTACGGAAAAATATGTTAACTTTAGTGCTAATTAAGAGGAAATAAACTAGATTTTCAACAATGGGATTTGATTAAATTAAATTATGTAATCATGGAACCTATTGTTAAATCATTAAAATCGGATGTAGTAAGGATTTTTAATGGGAAAATGTTTTCAAAATAATACTAATGAGAAAAATCAGAAGATAGTGCTAAATAAAAAAAACAGAAAATAGAGTATCCGTTAAAATCTAAGGTATGTTAAAGTGTGCACTAAAAAAAGATGGAAAAGAAATACATTGAAATGTTAAGAGGCTCTCACTTGGAAGTGGGAAGTTACAGGGAAGTATGAATTGCTTCATATTTTTTTGTTTAGTTTTGCCATATTTAACAAATATTCCTCCTTGATTCACATTGCTTTCCAAATCACCATAACAGCACCAAACACTGGTTTAAAAATATATCTATTTTACCTAGTAATTCTTTCACCGAGATTCTTTTCTAAAAAAATACAGAAAAACTTTACCAAAAATAAGTTTATTATTACAGTATCATTTATAGCACTTAAAAGGTAAAAACAAACCAAATGGTTAAATTGAGTGTGTGGTCAAAGGAGGTAAGTCCGTTAGTGTGATTGGTAAATTATGGATATTAATTATATCCATCTACATGATAAACTATTAATTCAGTCATGAATATGTTGGTGAAGTATTTATGCATAAAAATGCTTATGCAATAATGTTAACATATAAAACCGTGACACTAAATGTTATCAGCAACACAATCTCAAAGATGTAAAAACCTATGCATCCCAAGGTAATGAAAGGAAACTACTCAAAATATAAGCAGTGGTTTTATTCTGGGTGATGGAGTTAAAAGTAAGTGTAGTCTTCATCTTAAAATTTTTCTGTGGTTTCAAAATTTTATAATTTATAATATGATTTCTGAAAACAAATAAATAATGGTACATGGGAGATATTTCTCCTTTCCTCATTTAATGTGGCCATTTCAGCCTATGGTATGTTGATTATTTCTATGCAGAGGACAGACCTCCCATCACCTTCTACGTGCAGCTCTGTCTCCCCATTCTCTTGTCAATTGTTAGCATAGGTTTCTTCTTAGATGCTACTGACCCTCAGAGAGGGGAGACCCAGCCTTGTCTTCCTAACCCTAGTGCTTCTCATGGCTCTTGGCAGTCCATGAAGGCCTCTCGAGTGAGTAAGTGAATGAATGCAGAATAGTAGTTGTAAATTAGGGACCAGCAATACAGCAAACTATAAGAAAGAACTCTGGACCCCAAATCTTCTTCTTTAAGTAATTTGAAATTTCTAGTTTCTGTTGGTTATCTGAGGACTAAGATTTTCCATTTCAGTTTATTGGAAAAGATAAAGACTATATATTTTCATTTAAAAAAAGCTGAATTTAGAAAACTGCTATTAGTTTTCCCTTAAATAGCTTCTGTGCAAAAATATGCATTACTTGATTCTTCCTGAGGAATTATATGGAATGTCTTTATTGATATTAGGAGTCTGCCTCTGCATGCAATTTACAATTGCAGTGTAAACATAGGGAATTCTTTTGGAGTATTTCTAACTTTGGAGGGGATGAGGCAAGATAGTAGAAGCCTAGGGGATCTCATTTCATCTGATCCCTTGAATTTAGCTAGATATCTATCAAATCATTTTGAAAACCTATGAATTCAATCTGAGATATAAGAAAAGAATTGCTGGAATTCTACAAATAGAAAAGTAACCACTTTTTGCAAGGCAGGAGGAGCAGAGACATGAATCTGAGGTGATGTATTGGAAGATAAACCATGGGTTAGGGTAGGAGGGAGGGAGCCTCTAAAAGCCAGCTCCTGGAAAGTAATATAGCCCCAGTGTGCAAAATTGGAACTTTTATAATTCTGCTCCAGGGAGAGACAGTCCTGCCTGAAAGGTGCTCAGGTCATGAAGCTGGGCAAAGTCCTAGGTGGGACAGTGTGGTCTCAGGGTCCCTGAGGTCACAGAAAGAATGGGGGTGTCTGAGCTGACAAAGTTCCTAAGCACTGGAGCGGGGAAACTGGCTATGGTCAGCAAGCCTGCAAGTGGGCTTTCAGCTCTGTTTTCCATAAACCACAAACCATGGCAACAGGGTGCCCTGCAAAGGACAGAACGTGGCAACCTCCTCCTTCCCCCAGGCAGGGTACAAGGGTGCAGAATGATCCAACAACAGCTCTCCCTGTGGGGCTCTGCTCCCTCCCCTCTCTCCTCCCTCTCTGGTCCCCTGAGGAAAGGTGAAGGTGTGAGATACAGTCTTCTTTGGAGTTTGGCACACACAAGAGTGAAGACTGATATTCCCTGAGGGTTTACTAAAGAAGAGGGGCCCCAATCTTTCAGCTCCAGGGCTGGTGATCAGGACACTGCCATTTTTTTTTTTTCTGACTTTTTTTTTTTTTTTCTGACTTGCAATTTATTCAGAAGAAAACAACACAGAAGGTAAGGAATTACCCACTGATAAATGGCATGCCATTATCAAGCACATGGAATTGACCCCCAAATGGATTATTCATTTTATAATATTTTTTTCTTTGCAGATTATTAAAAAAAAAAAAAGGCACTGCCATTTTTATTTTCATTTTCTAAAGCGGGGCAGAAAGCCTTCAGAGAACAAAAGCCACATAGAGCACCCAGAGCAGCTTACACTGACCCTGGCTCCCTGGCAAGGGTCGGTGTAACTTCACTCAGGCAAAGACATCTGAGAATCAGTGCAGTAGGCCCCTCCCCCAGAAGACCAGCTGGAACATCAGGAGAATGCAAAGTTTACCGAGCACAAAGAACTCCAAAACTCCAGTGCTAGGGGAAAATAGTATGTAGAATTTGAGGGGTTTTTTTCTCATGATTCTTTTATCTTTCAGTTTAGAATTTTCCTTTTTGTCTCTTTTTCCTTTTCAGCTAGTTTCTTATTTTATCAACTCTTTGTTTTTCAGTCTTTTTTAAACTTTTGCTTTTACATTTAAAAATATGTTCTTCATTTTTGGCTTCCTTTCACTGTATTCAATTTTATTTTTGTATATATATATATATATATGTTTTGTTTTCTTTACAATTTTAGGATTTAGTGTCTTCTAACAAACAGACCAAAATATACTTACGACCAAGTGGATTACCTGTTTTGTCCACCTGGGAGATTATATTCTCTCCTTTTACCCCCTCCCCTTTTTTTTCCCTTTTCTTTTTTGGTTTCTGATCTCTTCAGATTTGTCTAGTGTGTAGTTTGCTTGGGTCATGGTTGATACTTTTGATTTTATTCTCTTGTTCATCCATTCTTCTCTGAGCAAAATGACTAGAAGGAGGAATTCACAAGAAAAGAAAGAACCAGAGGTAATACTCTCTGCCACAGATCTAATCAATATGGATATAAGTAAAATGCCAGAGCTGGAATTCAGGATAATGATTATAAAGATACTAGGTGGGCTTGAACAAAACAGAAAAGACACTAGAGAATCTCTTAGTGCAGAAATAAAATCTAATCAAGCCAAAATTAAAAATGCTTTAATTGAGATGCCATCTAAAATGGATGCTCTAACAGGTAGGGTAAATGAGGCAGAAGAGAGTCAGTGACATAGAAGACAAGATGATGGAAAGAAAGGAAGCCGAGGAAAAGAGAGAAAAACAACTAATGGACCATGAGGTGAGGATTTGAGAAATCAGTAATACCATAATGCAAAATAATATTAAAATTACTGGTGTCCCAGGGTAAGAAGAAAGAGAGCGGGATAGAAGGTATATTTGAGCAAATCATAGCTGAGAATTTCCCTAATCTGGGGAAGGAAACAGGCATTCAAGTCTGGGAGGTAGAGAGAACCCATTCCTTAAAATCAATAAAAATAGATCAACACCCCAGCATATAATAGAGAAGCTTGCAAATTTCAGAGGTAAAGAGAAAATCCTGAAAGCAGCTCAAGAGAACTCTTTAACCTACAGGGGGAGGAACATTAAACTGACAGCAGATCTATCCACAGAGACCTGGAAGACCAGAAAGGGTTGGCATGTTATATTCAGGTTACTAAATGAGAAAAACATGCAGCCAAGAATACTTTATCCAGCATATCTCCTTCCATTCAGAATGGAAGGAGAGGTAGAGAGTTTCCAGGACAAACAGAAGCTAAAAGACTCTGTGATCACTAAACCAGCCCTGCAAGAAATATTATAGGGGATCCTGTAAGTGAAGAGAGAGTCCATAAGTAATACAGACCAGAAAGAAACAGAGACAACCTACAGAAATGGCGTCTTTACAGGTAATACAATGGCACTAAACTCTTACCTTTCAATAGTTAACTCTGAATGTACTGGGCTAAATGCCCTAATCAAAAGACACAGGGTATCAGGTAGATAAAAAAGCAAGACCCATCCATATGCTGTCTGCAAGAGACTCATTTTAGACCTGAAGACACTTACAGATTGAAAGTGAGGCGGGGAGGGGAAATATTTATCATGCTAATGGACATCAAAGGAAAGCTGGGGTAGCAGTCCTTAAATCATTCAAATTAGATTTCAAACCAAAGACAATAGTAAGGAATGAAGAAGGACACTATATTATACTTAAAGGGTCTATCCAACAAGATCTAACAATTATAAATATTTATGTTCCTAACTTGGGAGCAGCCAATTATATAAACTGATTAATAACAGAATTAAACACATTGATAATAATACAATAATAGGGGACTTCAACACCCTACTCACTATAATGGACAGATCCTCTAAGTAGAAGATCAACACGGAGTTATTTCTAACTTTGAATATAAACACTAATAGTCTTTTTAATTTTTTTACCCTATTTAAAAATATTGTTGGAAATCAATGGGATTTTTACTGATAAAGATACCTTTTCTCATTTCCAGGTTGGGAGGTGGCTGGAGATCATATCCAGAGTGGAGCTGGAGGTTCAGATAATGATTACCTGATCTTAAACTTGCATATCCCAGGATTTAAGTAAGGAAAACCAATTCTGATTCCCTTCTGTAAGAATCCTCATGCCTGTTTCCCTGTAGAAATAGATGCAGTAGGACTGCTTTCATACAATATACTTATGTTTTGATGGACTTAGCAAATATCGAACTGTTGTAGGATAATGTATTACATTTAAGAATATCTGAGAATTGGTGATTGAGAAACTGTAACCATTAGTTGTATGTTTAGATGAAGCTGAAAGTTTTTAACAATAATTCTATCCAAATGTTACAATAACCATGATTATTGGATGCTTAGTGAAGAAGTTTTTGCCCAAGTTGTTGTTTGTGGGAGTATTTTTTGGTTTATAAATTTATTTTTTCTCAGTTTTATCTGTAAAGTAGTATGCTATAACTGTTCAAATCCTTTTTTGCTTTAGTTCTCCATGTTGACATTTCCCAATAGGCATATTTTGCTTGCTTTAGGATGGATGGTAATAGTTAAATCAGGAGATTCAAGCATATTACCATCATTGGTAAGCTCCTTACTGGGATGGTCTGGGGACACAGAGATGGAGCAAGGAAGAAGTGGCTGTGGGAAGCCATTGATTAGGGGAAGAGAAGAGCATTGCTTTCAGCTTAATGAAGAAAGTGACTTAGTTTTGTGTCATACTGTATTTAGATGTCTGTTTTTAATTTGTCTGTCAAATTATAATTTTAATCTGTCAAATAGGCCACCAACGTCTATGACTGGAGCCATGGGTTCTGAACTGGGAAGAATAACATTTGTCTTTGAGACCCTCTGTTCGGCTGACTGTGTTCTATACTTCATGGTGGTAAGTGAAAGAGAGGCTTTCAAAGGCAGGTTTCTAAGCTTGGCATTTTCTTTCAAGTGCCAATTCATTCATGCAAGTTGGGATAAGAATCCCATTTTTCTTCCCATTCTTAGGTCCTTGCAGAAAGTTAAAAAATATCTAAAGAAGTCACTAAGAAATGTCAGTGCAGCCCACAAAGAAAGCTTGTGTTCCTCATGGGGAGGACTGAGCAAGGGGGCTCGGGTGATTGATGCAAGTCAGGGGATAGTAATCTGGTAAAAATTCCTTCATAAAGATATGCCATCATCACAGTGAAAACTGTCCTCTAATAACCATTCTGTAGTTCAAATCACTAGGAAGGAAAAACCTCTATAAGGAAACTATTCACTGTTAAATTAATAAATGTAGACAAAAGACTTACTATGTGCATGTCATACTTCTGCCCAATTTTTTCTAGATGGCCTATACATTTCAACTCTTAGCTTGAGAAAAGTAGCAACAAAAAATTTATTAAGATCTTTTATGGGTATTACAATGTTGTTGGCTAAGATTTTAACACTGTAAGTAGTGACTTCAAAGACATTGTTTTTGCTTTTCTCCCAAGTCTTTTAGTAGCTAGTTAGCAGTCTATTAACAGTTTCCTCTGTGACATACAAATTAGATGAAGATTTTTTTTTTAAAGATTTTATTTATTTATTTGACAGAGAGAGACACAGCGAGAGAGGGAACACAAGCAGGGGGAGTGGGAGACAGAGAGGGAGAAGCAGGCTCCCCGCTGAGCAGAGAGCCCGACGCGGGGCTCGATCCCAGGACCTTGGCATCATGACCTGAGCCAAAGGCAGACGCTTAACCGACTGAGCCACTCAGGCGCCCCATAGATGAAGATTTTAATATCTGTAATTACTGCCAGCTTAAGGGAAGGCAGGCTGTTTTCTTCTAAAAAAAAAAAAAAAAAAAAGGACTTTGTCGTAGTAAAAGAAGATCATGAATAATCTTCAACACATCCATTTACTTTTTTTTTATAAGATTTTATTCATTTATTTGACAGAGATCACAAGTAGGCAGAAAGGCAGGCAGAGAGAGAGAGAGAGAAGGAAGCAGGCTCCCCACTGAGCAGAGAGCCCGACAAGGGGCTCATCCCAGGACCCTGGGACCATGACCTGAGCCGAAGACAGAGGCCTTAACCCACTGAGCCACCCGGACACCCCAAAACATCCATCTGATACACTACAAATAAGCAATAATTCAATTCCCAGCTCTGCCTCCATATTTCTTTAATCTGTTCATTCTTTTTCACCGTCAGTGCCTTTACTGAGGTCCTGACTCCCACTCTTTCTCGGTAGCCATCTGTATTCTTTTTCTCTCCATTCTCTCATATATGCTACTGTCAAAATGTTCTTTATAAGCATCAAAACAGTAATGGAGACCTCTACAACGAATCTGCCTTCTTCCCCTTGCTGGTTGGTTACTGCCTATGGCAGTGGCGATTAAAGTATGGTCTCTGGACCAGCATCACCTGGGAATTTGTTAGAAACATAGATTTCTCAGCCCCCTCCTGGTCTTAATGAGAAGCTCTGGCGATGGGCCCGGATATCTGTGTTCTAGCCAGCCACAAGGGTGGTTCTAACATCAACAAAGGTTTGAGTGCCAATAGCCTCTGAATACACTTAAAATTTCTTAGCATGGCTTGGTTTGGGTTTTTGTCCTCTTTGCCCAGCTTCTTTTTACCAAGTTGACCATTACTACTCACACCTCTTTAGACATCCTGAATTTGTTAGAGGGCCGCTCTGTACTTCAGTTCTCATACTTGGCACTCTGAGCCAGAATGGCTCTCTTCCTTTTGCTCCTTTGTCTGGTAAACTCCCACACATTATTCAAGGGGTGCTCAAACTTCACCTCTTCTGGGAAGCTTTCTCTTAGTCCTTTAAGTGAAATTAGCCGTTCTCTCCAGTGTGCTCCAAAAACTCCTTGAGAAAACTCTGTTTTAACTATGTGACTGTATTGATGTTTTGTCTCTCTCACTTGACCAAACAATCCTGAGGGTAGGAATCATAGCTATTTATTTTTGTAAATCAATCTTAGAGTTTTTAGCTCATTGCAGAATCTGTTTTCTTTCCTCTCTGTTTGATTCGGTTTTCTCACAGGATGTTTTGTGGTGTCAATTAAATAGTGTATAGAAATGCTCTCAAAACCATGCAGGTTTTCAAAACCTTTTACAAAGGTAGGATGGCATTATTTGTGGTAATGCAATAAATTTCATTTATTATTGGAATAAACATGTAGAAAGATGATGTTTTAACAGAGAACTGTCTGTGTATTCTGAGCTCCTTTTAGGAAGCGGCATGTATGGTGGTTTGGTCATTTGGTAACGTGGAGAATTCTGTAATGTATGACAAGCACATTCTGTTATTTCTGTCTGTGGTGTGAACTCAAGACACATCTCTCTACAGCATATTTGATTACTTTATAATGTTTGACTCCTATGTTTATATCATAGAAAGAAACAGACATATCTTGAGCTCATGCCACCATATGGTCAACATCCCAGATAATGTAACAGAAGCCCATCCGAATTTCTAAGTCATCTAGTAGGGTTTCTGTAGGGACCACTAATTAGAAAATTCAAGGCTGGCTTTGATTTTCACTTCAAATTAATTAGTTGTATATTACATTATTTGGTTGACTTACTATATTTGTTTTCTAATCATCTTAATGACAACATATTGGTTAGAATGTTACACATTTGTAGGATATTCTAAATATTGAATTTAGCTAAGGAAATCAGAAATAAAATATTTACACATATTCCTTTGGAATTCAAGTTTAAGCAGCAGAAGATGATTCTTTGGACTTAAAATAACATTCTGGTTAATAAATACTTGGAGAAGCCTAGAAGTTGCAAGTGTAGTTCAAGGGAAACTTAGAACTCCTGTGTAAGAGCTGCCTAGCAGAATCTCTCAAGGAAAAAGGCAAACATGGTAAGCCTTGCTCTTCTGTGAGCAGCTTAGACGTTTACTGTGAGAAATTGGAGGAATTTGTTTTCCCTTTGAAGTGTCTTTCTTTCTTTCTTTTTATATATTTTTTTATAAAGGTTTGTTTTTTTTTTCTTTTTTTAGATTTTATTTATTTATTTGACAGACAGAGATCACAAGTAGGCAGAGAGGCAGGCAGAGAGAGAGGAAGGGAAGCAGGCTCCCTGCTGAGCAGAGAGCCCGATGATGGGGGCTTAATCCCACGACCCTGGGATCATGACCTGAGCTGAAGGCAGAGGCTTTAACCCACTGAGCCACCCAGGTGCCCCATTTTTCTTTTTATATTTTATTTATTTATTTGACTGAGAGAGAACACAAACAGGGGAAATAGAAAACAGAGAGGCTTCCTCTCTCACCCACAGAGCAGGGAGCCCGATGTGGGACTTGATCTCAGGACCCCAGGATCATGACCTGAGCTGAAGGCAGACACTTTACAGATTGAGCCACCCAGGCGCTCTGGAAGTGTATTTCCTAAGCTAGAGTCACCTGCACACAGACACATGCGCGTGCGCGCATACACACACACCCTTAAATGTACTACAATTTGAGACTTCTTTCAGGTTATATTGACAATGTGTTTGAAAAATTGTAATTACTAAGCTGGTAAGTGCTTGCGTAGACTTGGAGGGAGGTTTTGAGAGTTCTAGGGTGACGTGCTCTGCAGATAAATATTCATTGACCCTCCAGGGGTTTTTGTAAAGACATATTTGTAATGTATACACATGTATATTAATCCTGAGTTTGTGCTTTTTTTTGTTTATATTTTCTACTATATATTAGGATATTAATAGAAAAAGTACCAATGTGGTGGAATCATGGGGTGGAACCAAAGAAAAGCAAGCTTATACCCACATCATATTCAAGAATGCAACATTTACATTTACATGGGCATTCCAGAGAACGAATCAAGGTCAAGATGTAAGTTCCAAGCACTTTTTTTTTTTTTTTTCAATGCAAAGATCATGCTCCCGATGGAAATTTGTACAAAATGATCACCTATCTCTCCTGGAGGAAAAGATTTAGTTTTCTATTGATATGGGATCAATCATTTGGTTATGGAGAGGATTTGTATTAAAATGGTTTGAGAGCAAGAACGTATGAAATTGAATAACACAACGTATCCTTTGAATTGTTCTACACTAAACAGATATATTTGCTGAAAGCTTAAGAGAAAGAAAATCTGACTGCAGTTATTAAAAGGTGTCTTTAAGGCTTTCTAAAACTTTGAGAAGGCTGGTGACTGTCTTCCTCTTTTTCTGAATGGTCTGACATTTGTCCTGGAGCCATTAACTGGTGTTGGTTTATTATTTCATTGTAGTGATGTCGCCTTTTATAGCCTGGAGAGTGTGTATGTACACATGATTGGGTTTACACACAGAATTACTTATTTTCTTTTACTTTCCCTGCTAGAGTAGACCTTAATTCTCCCCTAAGTTCGTTCCATTGTATGTTTTGATAGTAACAAGACTTACTTTTGTGGATCTCCATAGATGTGACCTTCCCAAGGTGAAAACAAGGTAAACCACTTAAAGCTGTGGTGACAAATGCAGAACATTTTCTCTTTTCTCTTTGGGCTTTCCCTGGGGAACCCATTCCCAGATGTTATTTGACTCTGATTGTTGATGGGTGTTTGGGTTACCATCACGTGGGGCATGAACATGCTGTGGAATGTTTCCTCATCTTGTTGTTGTCCCTCCCCCAGACAAAAGACATTAATAGTCTAGGGTAGCTCTGTTCTCTACTGATAGAGTGGTGCCACTGCCTGGTGAGAACTAGATCTTGATTGACCCAATGTTACAAGAAGAAAAAGTATAGTTAGACCCAGGGATTTGTTCTCTACTCTGCAACCCTTCACTAGAAATCCATATATAGGTCAGGGAAAGTAGTGGAGAGAGAGAGAGAAAGTCCCAAAGGTATGGTGTGATGGCATCATGGTCAGTGTTTGGTGAGGACCAGAGTCCTAGTCTTTCAAGGCTAACCCCTCTTCAAAAGCTTTACCACTCGCTACCCTGCAAACATCCTATTGTATCATTACAGTTAGGCTTATCTCTGAATAAACCATCATGGGAGATAAAGTTGTTCCTGTGTTAAACCATACCAGTTCTTCCAGATGTAAAGCCTATAAACATGCCTGATCTTGCGGTGATTGTGGATAACCTCCTGGAACTCCATTACTATGGAGATTAGCTCCTAGTGTTAAGATTTAAGATTTTTTTTTTTTTTAAAGAACCAAGAAGAAGTAATTTTAATCCACTATCGATTATAAACTGCTAGTCTGGAACACTCTGCTTAGCTATTTTGGTGATACCCACACAAAACGATCTGGTTGTACAATTAAGCCCCAAGGCAGAAGTCATTACTTTCTGCTCTCTTTTTAGAATAGACGGTTCATCAATGACATGGTGAAGATTTATTCTATCACTGCCACTAACGCAGTTGATGGGGTGGCGTCCTCATGCCGTGCCTGTGCCCTCGGTTCTGAACAGTCGGGCTCATCGTGTGTCCCCTGCCCCCCAGGCCACTACATTGAGAAAGAAACCAACCAGTGCAAGGAGTGTCCACCTGACACCTACCTGTCCATACATCAGGTCTATGGCAAGGAGGCTTGTATCCCATGTGGGCCTGGGAGTAGAAGCACTCAGGTGAGTGTGTGTTTCTCTTATTCCCAGGAAAACTTTAATAGAGATACTCATAAGATCCCCTTAATATTTCTCCAGGAACTATGTTGTAATTCTATTTAGAAATGGCCTTTTCATTCTTCTTGTTTTCTCTCCTCTTAGATTTATGCAGCACGTGAACATGTCTTATGTGCCATGAAAGCCCTAGTTCCTGGGGGCATCAGATATTAAGAAAAGCACTCCAATAATAATGGTCTCCAAAAATATTAAAATTAGATTTTTGTGTATTCTGTTAGGGAAGAGCAAGTAAACTCCCTCTGTGGATTGGCCATAGGATTATGGGGAGAGCAGCAAGTATATCTTAGAGTATTTTAAGGGCAAAGGTTGATGTTATATTATGGGTGAAGGAGAAAGTAGTTTTACTGTCTCTTAAAACTGGCATAACAGGGACTTTTGGCTATTTATTAAAATACCTTTTTCCAAGAAACTGGTCTTAGAATAACTTTGCTCTTACTTTAAAAAATGCTGATTTTTCTGTACTCTGCCTTGGAAAATCTAATTATTTTTTCGAAATTCTCTATATTCATGTGATAAACCATAACTAAGACAAAAAAAAAGGAAAATATTTTTAAACATAGAACTGTTTTTGAAACACATTTTTCATAGCAGCTAATATTTTGTTTTCTACTATATATTTTTTTTTGTTTCTTAATCTTTAATCAAAGGACCACTCAGTTTGCTATAGTGACTGCTTTTTCCACCACGATAAAGAAAATCAGAGTTTGCACTATGACTTCAGCAACCTCAGCAGCGTGGGCTCATTGATGAATGGACCCAGCTTTACCTCCAAAGGAACCAAATATTTCCACTTCTTCAATATTAGTTTATGTGGGCATGAGGTGAGTTCTGGCTGTCAAAATGAGATAGAGCTGTATTTCAGCTCTGATTGAGTTGATATTTTCTGTGTGGATGCCTCAATAAAATCTCTACAGAAACTAACAACCAAATGTCAGAAACTGAGCTGTGATTGCTTAAATCCTGCGTTGCCTCTTAGCATGTTGGCAGCTTTCTCCAGCAGGGCCAGCCTTGTCTGCCTCTCTGTCCATCAGAGCACTTATTCCCCAGCCCCTGGAACCCCAGAGATAATGATCTTCATTATGAAATGCTGTGCCAGATTTTATGCAAAGAAAATAAAAAGAGATCTGATGACCACAGATGTTTTCAGGCAAAGGGATCTATAAATTTTACATGGTGTGGTGTTTGTCCTGTTCTGATTTCACAGGGAGTGATCTAAAGCACTCAGCCAGTTAGTTACTCAGTTCATTGAATAAATAAATGCATATTAAATATGTGTTTTGCTAAATATTGAGTGAAGCGGTGAATGAGATTCTTTACATTACATATTACATTTCTTTTTGTCCTTATGCCTCTGTTACCACTGTCTTGCCTTCCCTCTATCCCCTCTTCTTTTCTGTCCTCTTTCTCTTCCTTTCTTTTCTATTCTAATTCCTTTCCTTTTGTTGCTGTTTTCCCCTTTCTTTCCTCAATAGTTTCTCTCTGATCTTTTCCATTGTTTTCCTCTTCTCAGTTTCAACAATTTAAGCTTAGTAACAATATATTGTACCTGTATTGTTGTGAGAAGGCTTAGTGGAGGAAGAAACTTTTAAGTTCAGACTGCTAGCTGCATGAAGAAAGATAAGTCGACATTCCTTTCTTTGGGCCCATGTGTGCTCACCCTACAGCTAAGACTAATAAAATCATCTTCCTTTTTCCCTTTATACTGTCCTACATAGAAATTATAAAGCTATAGTTGTTTGTAGTGGGACTATAGTATATTTAAACAGTCTTCCAATTTTTATAGATTACATATTCCAACTGAGTGAATGATTCAAAAAGTAAACTCCTGTATTCCCTTCACCTTCCTCTGTAGTTGAGTAGTTACATGTCATTGAGTGTGAGTAGCTGAATGAAGGCACTTGTAGTGACCAACTATTAAGAATTTAGATGGTGTCCTAAATTTTGCTGCAATAGGACTTTTAGGCTTTCTTCTTCAGACTTCATATTACCTTTTTGCCACAACAGACCAATAAAGGAGAAGGAAGAGCATGTCTTTTTCTTTGACATTAAAACCTTCACCAAGAGTTATCTGGTCTCTTTGAACACATTGTTATCCTTTGAATTGATGGTTTCATGGGTGACTTTTAGTTGCTTAAGTTAGATGGCTTTCATCCAGCACAAATGATGCTTGTAGTTGGAAGAGCAGTGCAGTCTTGAATTTCTATATTCATTGTAATTTAAATGACTCAACCCTGGTTAAACATTGGAATTCCTCAAGAGCTTTAAAAAAAAAAAAATGCCAGTGCCTGGGCCCCATACCATACCAATTAAAGCAGAATGTCTGCAGTGAGGAGAGAGCCACTGCTCTACGAGGGTCATGAGCTCTCTGAGATCTAATGTAAGGACTGACTCTTCCACACACATACACATACACAAAGAGGTTTCTCTTTATGACTTTATTTTCCTAGGGGAAGAAGATGGCTCTCTGTACCAACAATATAACAGACTTCACAGTAAAGGAAATAGTGGCGGGGTCCGATGATTATACGAATTTGGTAGGAGCCTATGTATGCCAGTCAACTATTATTCCTTCTGAAAGTAAGGGTTTCCGAGCAGCCTTATCATCACAGTCCATCATTCTGGCAGATACATTTCTAGGTAAGCTTCATTTGGTTCCTGTATGTATGCATGCAGTTATTCTAAAATTACAGTACTGGTAATTTGTCATTGTGTTGGTATTTGCCATAGATGATGACGGCCTCAGGTAATTCTAAATCATCACTTTGTAACATGGTTGCAAAGCCCCTGAAGTTGAGATCTATTGGTCAATCTAAGTGAGTGCAAGCATCTCCTGAATTTATGCATAATTTTTTTTGAGAGTCTATGCTTTTCATCAAATTCTCCAGGAGCTTAAGAAGCAGAATAAGATTAGAAACCAAAACTATAAACAAAAGCACAGCAAACAAATATTTTATAAACCTAAATCATAATATCCACCACCAGTTTTCATAAGTAAGTTGGTGACACTTAGTAAAGGTGAATGTGGGGAGCTTTATTCCCCGTCTGTCTTTCCTGTCTTTGTAGACTAGAAGGCATAAGAAAGTTTTAAGAATGACCACTTAGTGATTTTTATGGATCGAGTTCATTAGAACCTCTGGGATGGTGATATAACAGTATAACAATTTAACAAGCTTCTTGTGATTCTAATGTACAGCAGAGTTGAGAACCATTGCTATCAACTCCAGAGGAATTTAGCTTTAATTTTCAGCACCGTGGTCAGTTACCGAGTCAGCTGGAGAGGTTGCTGTTACTGCTTGCATTTTGGCTCTGTGGTCATTTTGTCTCCAAGGGATGGGAGAAGTGCCTGACTTTTAGATTAAACAAAATTTGGAGTTGCTTTCTGGAAGTTATTGGGTACAAAAATTTTTTGTTTTCTCAGGTGTGTCTATACTGAGTGAAAAGCTGTATTAACAAAACAGCCCAGCTCTTACAATACAACTCATTAGAAGCTGAGAATTTTAATAATGTTAGGATGTTGAAGTGTTAGAGCTGGAAGGGGCTTTAGAGATCATCTCAATTATTTCATGCATTTTACAGATTTAGGACATAAGGCCCAGGGATGTGAAGTGACTTGAGCAAAATTACAGAGCTATAGAGTAGATTCTTTTCTTTTTTTTCTTAGAGTTTGGAATGGTACTTTATCTTACTGTGAATGCATAGATTTAATACAATATTTCTGGTCAAATGACAGTATCCAAGTAAAGCTGGTTTCTATTCAGATACACAGAGACTAAATAAATCTCATTCTTCCATATTGCTTAACAGCTTCTTTTTTATTGTCATCTAGGAGTGACCGTTGAAACGACATTGCAAAATATTAATATAAAAGAAGAAATGTTCCCAGTTCCCTCTAGCCAAATACCAGATGTGCATTTCTTTTATAAGTAAGTGAAGATGCTGCTTCCCTTGACTATTTTAATCAAGAGTATCTTGGTACCTAGAATAGTAGCTTATTATACTTAATAGATACTCAATGATTAGTTCTTAAATAGAAGTCTTAGTGTAAAGCAGGAAACATGAACTATTTTGAAAATGTTATATAAGTTCTGATATGTATAATATATATCTTTTTTCTGATTATATTTTTTCTATATTTCTACTTTATATCTATTTCTTGTACATATACTTTATATATAGATATATTTTTTCTTATAAATTGGGCGATAAAGAGACTCTACTTCCTTGTCCAGGCAGTATTTGTAATTCAGACATTTCAATATTAGCCAAAGTAGACACAACCTCTCTTCCCTTTGAAAAATTTTTGTGATTATGACTTTGATTATAATTATGGTGACTTGCCTAAACACCTTGATGATAGCTTATTACTTTACCTGAGGAAATAGTCAATTTTTCCTAGGCAGTGAAAGCAAATGAGCTCAGTTTGTATTAAAATTTTTAATTAGTGAACTTGGACACATTTTTCTTATTCATTGTTGCACAGAGTGTGGGAGCAGTTACACACAGGTTATTTATGTCTTGGTGATCTGTGTTGTGTCTATTCTGTAAAATGCCGTTTGCCCTGCAATAGGTCTTCTACGACTACGACATCTTGTGTCAATGGCCGGTCAACTGCTGTGAAAATGAGGTGCAATCCTACTAAACCAGGAGCAGGAGTGATTTCAGTCCCCAGGTATTCTTACTTCTATGTGGTCAATTTCACATTTGTATTTATTGTGAGGCAGCAAAACTCTCCAGAATCCTACTATTTTAAGACATATCCTCTAGGAATGCAAAGCAGGAAGAATGGAAGAATATGTAGGTTTTTGTTGTGGGGATATGCTGAGCATCTCTTAAGAGGAATAGGTCTTCACCAATTTCAGTACTTCCCCGTCTCCTCAAGGCCGTATTCTCCTCCTGTTTGCCTAAGTGTCTGTTTGTCTTGAAAATTATTTAACTAATTATATAATTATTGTGTTTGTATCCTCGTATTAATTCATAGTGGTTAGTCCTAATTTCCCTAAGAGCTGCTTTATACATAACCTGTCTGATAGTACTTCATCAGTGAACTACCTGGGTGGTCTAGACGGAAGTAATCTACCCTCCCAATCATAGCTTCTTTCTCCGTAAGGGGTGGGGGGCACAGTAGATAATTTGTATGCTCCATTTCCAGCTCCTTCGTTTTCTGATGAATGGCGGCAGAATGACCGAGGTAGAGTCTCATTTGTAGAATACACAATACAATTCATTTAATTTACTGGCACTGAGAGAACAGCTCTCCACAGTCTCAGTCTGACTAATACAGTTTACCTGGATGGGAGCTCTAGAAGAGAACGAGCAATTTCATAGACTCAGAACTCTCAGCTTACCTAACTGTTTTCATGGCATGAGTGCCATTTAGATGGCTGCTGATTTTCATTCTTTGCACTTATTTATTGTTCCGTATATAGATTATTTCTAATCTCTGTGTGGGATTAAGGTACCTTTGGAGCACAGTTTGACTTGCAGGTTTTTCTCCATCAAGCTAGTGAAAATGTATATTTTAAAAAAGAAAATGGTTGACTTAATTTTGTTTTTGATAGTTTCACCATAACCCATGAGAGATTTGAAGCTCTTCTGCTCATGTCACCGCAGTATTGGAAATCAGTGGTCTTAAGTGTTATGGCAAATGCTTGATATCTTAAAAAGATTAGCAGTGCTAACAATATTGTGGGTTTACTTTGGGACATAAAGGTACACTAGTATTCATCTCGCACCAGCTGTGTTTCTCTGTCTGATGGATCTGGAAATTAATTTTTCTTTTCACCTTTTCAAGGTGAGAGAAGTATATGATGAAAGGAGAACACAATGAAAGGTAATAGGTGTCAAGTGAAAGAGACAGGGGGAGTCTGATGTCCAAGAGCCTCACGTGGCAGAGGGTCCTTGAGACAGCATCCAGGCTGGAGTCAGGGCAGCAAACCACACTTTGTTTAGGAGAAGGTGTGGTTAGAGTGGCTTTAATTATTCGGCAATATCCCACCATAGAGCTTTGAGTTCAGACGCTGCTTTTGTTTATGGTAGTACCTCTAAGGTCCTGTTTTTGGACTTAGCAACTAGCCACCCCGAATCTGGCCTCAGGAAGTCTCTCTGATGGCTTCCAAGCAGATAATATGACTGAAGGTCAGGTCTGTCCTTTATTTTTTTTGTTTAAAAATTTATTTGACAGAGAGAGAGAGAGATCATAAGTAGGCAGAGAGGCGGGCAGAGAGAGAGGAGGAAGCAGGCTCCCTGGTGAGCAGAGACCCCAATTCAGGGCTTGATCCCAGGACCCTGAGACGATGACCTGAGTTGAAGGCAGAGGCTTAACCCACTGAGCCACCCAGATGCCCCCAGGTCTGTCCTTTAAGAAAGTATCTCACTCTCCCAACGTGGGTTCTGATGTTTTAAGGTAATAATAATAATAAAAAAAGTCTCATGTTGTTAAATGATACTATTTAGAAACTTGGGGTTTTTTTGCCTTGTGAGAAGAGGAAAAGTTAAGTTTTTCCTTTGACCTCTAGCAGTTTTTTCTCTTCACAGAATTTAGTTGTCTTTGCCAGGGTTTCTCAAGATACTCTGTGGCAGAATACCTTGGGGTGTCTATTTTAAAAATCAATTTCTAGATCTTTCCTGAAACCAAAACAATCTCTTGAGTGTTGAGCATAGGAATATTTTTTAAAATACAAGGCAATTCTTAGGTGCCTGGCTGGTTCAGTTGGTAGAGCATATGACTCCTGATCTCAGGGTTGTGGGTTCAAGCCCCACGTTGGGGGTAGAGATTACTTTAAAATATTATTTAAAAAACAAGGCAATTCTGTGCAGATAAAAATTTTGGAACTACTGATCTTAATCCACATTTTGGTACTTTGGTGATTAGGCTTGCTTTTTTCTGAGATAAATCCTCAAACTTTGCTCTGCGTTTTAGTTTTCTGAAAAGCTCATTTAAAATGTCTTGGTCTATAGGGTAGTCCTTCACCCATATTTGGTAAAACTTTATATGTAATTATGATGCACATTGAGGTTTGAGGACCACTGCTCTAGGGAACAGCCGGAACCCCACAGCCTAATGAGCTAACCTTCTGTTCTTACTTGAATCAGTTCCCTGTGAAGGCACAAGGGGGAGCCCTGGCATCAGCATATGAAAAACAGCGGCTTGTTCTGAAAGAGAGTTTTTTTAGCTTTGGGGCTGAATAAAGATTTCCTACTAACAGTGAGGAAATGTTAACAGAGCCAGGTTTCTCCGGCTACTTTTGAAGAGGATTTACTTTGCAATTTGGGAGAGCTGGGGGTGGGGAGCTTTAAGATCTCCAGAAGAGGGAGGAAGGTGCTAACCGGGCACTTGGCTTGAAAAAAGTCTCACATGCTGTGACCAAAAAGTCTCAGAAGGCAGACTTTGGCAGTTTGGAAGGGATGCCACCCCCGGGAATTCTCCTGTCTTGGCCAACAATCTTGGCAAAGCAGGCAAAGGAGACTGGAGTAGTAGTGATGTTGGTTGGGGCTCTGAAGCTTGTGACCTAAGAAAATGCCATAAGACCCTTAGTCTTGGGAAAATGAGAAGGTCTTAACAGAGCGTGGGCAGGCAGGAGGAAAGGGACAATGTGTGTTCTCTGTATCTCGTAGGAAATTTAGAGGGAATAGCAAATTATCAGGGCCGCCTACTAACCTGCAGTTGGAAAACTGCATCCTGTCTGTGTTTGGTCTGGCAAATGCAGTTGGTTTCTAATTTCACAAAATGTCTGGGGGGGTGTGTGAGACATTTTAGATAAAAACTTAACAGCATGGTATCTGTGGTGGAAGAAATCTGAGAGCCAGAGTGAGTGGACTTTTGGGGATTTCCTGGTGGAGTTTGCATCTTGGCCAGCGAACAAATTTCTAACATATTAGAGTGCTGATAGCCCTAAATAGGTCGCCCTCCAGCCTCTGCCTAAGAAACTTTTCAAACCTCCAGTCATGATCCTAGGTCGTTAGGAAAATCGAAGATTCACCTTTCAATAGGAAAAATTTAGAACTAAATAAACATTGTGTCCTAAGTGTTCTTTCAAATGCATAAGAAATTTCTGTGAATGGAAAGGTTAAAAAAGCATTATTAGAAAGTGGGCAAAAGGAGTCATCTTCACTCTGATGAGAGACCTGCATCAGACGCATTTGCTTGACGCAGTAGGGAACACTGAGGACCCTGGGTATACAGCTGTGGTGGCACAGTCAAGACAGAAGGATGTCCTGGCTGTGTCGATAATTCTTTTCTTCCCGTCATGTGTTCATCTTGCCATTTTGTCCCTCCAGTTTCTCATAGGTAGAGATTTACAAAGAAGCGCACTAAGCCCAGAGGCAAATATCACATTTATCCGGGGATAACTCAATTGGTCTGCAAGTTATTGGTGCTTTGTTTAACATGAGTCATTCTTCCTCCAACGAGGTGGTCTTTAGTAATGATATGATTTAGAGGAAAATCATCATCCTCTCTTTCTCTCTGTCTCGATTTATGTAACTATATTTAACTGCTTGGAGAGTTTATGAATCAGTCTAAAATTGTTTTTGCCAAAACCTCCTTCAGAATCCAAATTCATCTTTATCATAAGGGTAGCCTTGGGCTCAGAGAGTCCAGCTAGTGAGTGGTTCCGGGCCAAATGGAGAGGGGCTACTGATCATTAAAAGGAAAGAAAAAAAAAAAGAGTTTAGCTTCTGAGAATGTTGTATCTCACAAAACGGATGCTTCGGAGGTCTGTCGTGATAGCATTCACAGGCGGAACATGCCAGAGCTTTATTCCACAGGCTCTGATTTAGAATTTGCTCTGTCAAAGTTACCGGACCTGCAGGACACTTGTGTTTTCTTTGGTGTTTGGGAGAGGTCTCTTGCAGCCAAAAGTCTATCCATTTTAAGGGGGTAAGAGGCAAAGGATAATGATTGGTTAAGTGGGTTCTTTGTTTTCTTTTTTCCTCTGAACCACTTATGGACAGATAATAGATATCTAAATTGGTACAAGTTAAGTTTAAAAGGCAGTGGAATTTAAAACATAAAAGCCAAGTATGTTCTTAGAACAAGGAAAAGTGAGGAGGCATATAAAAGCTCTATGAGCATAAGTAAAAACCCATTATGATCAAGAAATGGAAAAATTGAATACAGAATTGTTAAAGTTATACAGTTCAAGCACTAATGAGTAATCATAGGACATGACATAAAAAGATTATAAAACAGTCAAAAAGTTTAAGGATCCATTTTGAAATAAGGATGATAAAACTCTGACAGGTTTTGCAGACCTGTAGATAAGAGGGTCTGGGGAGTGTTAGCTAATGTAGTTTGTATAGGTCTTGATCGGGTTCTGGCTTTTGGTAATTAACCTAGGAGAGAATCTGCAAAAAGGGAGGTTTTTGCAGGACACTGGTAGAATTTTAGATCCCTGGATCAAAGAGGTATGGATCAGAAATCTTATGTTCAAACTCAGTCATAAGTGGTTGATACTCTTCAGCCTCAGGGCAAAACTGTAGCAAGATCCAAAGCCATTTTATGGATCCCACACAGGAAGGCTCTCTGTCCACTGGCATTCTCACCTGAGAAAGGCTGAACTTCTCAGAAGCCAAAGCCAAGGGGTTACCAGCAGCTGGTTAGAGAGGATCACCCATGCCAGAGGATGCCAGTCTCTGAACTCCAAGATTGGGAAACCCCAGGAAACCCAGAAAAGCCTTGCACGAAAGAAGCTGAGTTAACAACCGTGCTCTGACACCAAATGAGAAAGTTTGAGGCACTTGAAACTATGGACTTTCCCCCGAGTCTCTTGAGACCGACTCCAGAAGGGTCAGAACCCTACTGACAATGTACCTTATTTGAATAAGGTTTAGGCAAAAACAAGATTACATTGTTTTATCAACTATCCCAACAATTAACAATTGATTAGGTATAGGGTTGTAGTAGTTCATAAGAAAATAAGATTATTGTCCATGAATTTTTAGTATGAACCAAGGAGATCCTGTCTTAGATAAGATGATTCATATAAAGGAAGACACTAATAACTCGTAGTTCTGTCCGCTTCCCCCCCAGAATATGTATCCCATTTTAGAATCCAAGATAGAACTTACTTAACTTAAAAAGAACTTACTTTAAAAAAGATTGATCGGAATTTGCACGTTACCAGTGCTATCCTGATGGGAAAGGCAAGCCCAGAAACAAAATAAGGAAACTGGAAAGTCTTCCTTATTTAAGAGTAAAACCATATTATGGTGCACCTGGTTTTCCTTGTCGATGGTGGTTTCTGTACCTAGAATTCATGGCCTATGGTGACAGGGGTGTGACCCTACAGGGGTCATCCTGTGGAATTCTAGTCTTCTGTGCTCCAACTGTCAGTGATTCACATACTGCTCTTCAAACACTTACTTGCTGGTTTCTATGGTGATCTTGTAGTAGACCAAAAATTTAAAAAGAGAAGCTCAGTTAGTGACACCTTTGAAAAGCCAGTGTGGGGAGGATGGAGATGATGGTGACCCAGGTCATCAAAGGGAAAGAGTTTCACATATTTGGCGATAAAGCATTTGTCTATCTTACTACACGCTTTTTTATTCTTAGTAGAAGAAAATCTTTTTGTGTTTTTTTTCTCTTGCATTTTTTTTTTTCTATTTTCATTTTCCATGTAAGCACTATTGAAACGAGTACTGCTTCCTACACCCTTGTCACTTCATAGGGAAGGCCTGATTCAAACTGTGAAACTTGGGTTTATAACAAAGAATCAAATTTGGATGTTCCACATTTTAACTGATTCGTTGGGTTGAAAGAATTAAAGAATTGATTCTAAACTAAACTACTTTTAACCTAAGAGCAGATTTTAAGAAGTAAATTCTCCCAGGGAAAGGCAGTGAATCATTGTAGTATTTTGACACTTACTGGCAGCTCTGTAAGTTACATCAATGTCTTGATATTTTCCCCCTGGTTTCTGTAGTTCTACCAGTTATTGAGAAAGTGATGTGCATTGTTAATAGTCTTTTATATTTTGCAGTACTTGAAACTTTCCCAAATTGTTCTCTTATTTTGTCCTTTATAACCACCCTATGAAGGCAGTGAAACAGACATTTCGCTTCCGCTAAATTATAAATATGAAACAGTGCGGGGGGAGGGACTAAGTCACTGGTGGAAAAAAACACAAATCACTTGCAAGTCCAGCCAGAATTGTAACCTGAGTTTTCTCGCCAGAGGTTTTTGCAACTTTAATTAATTTTCCCCCTTTTCTTTATTTATTGAGGTTGTTTTTTTTTTTTTTCCTCAAACTTTACTGGACTTACTCTTTTATTTTCCCAAGATAAACAGCCCTCACTGCCCTTGAAAATGTGCCTGTGTTGGAAAGATAAAATAATTTGGGAAGGAGAGACTTCAGCAGGAAATTATATTGGGTAATTTATGCTAAATGATCAAAAAGTTAATTACCTTTAAAATTTCAATTCATTGTTGTACAAATAATTGTGTTCTTGAAGAACTTTTCTTTCTTTCTTTTTTTAAAGATTTTATTTATTTATTTGACAGAGATCACTAGTAGGCAGAATGGCAGGCAGAGATGGGTGGGGGCAAGCAGGCTCCCCACTGAGCAGAGAGCCCAGAACCCTGGGATCATGACCTGAGCCGAACGCAGAGGCTTTAAACCACTGAGCCACCCAGGTGCCCCTTGAAGAACTTTTCTAATTGGTTGCCCGATTTTTTTTTTCAAAAATGCAGTTTTGAGTTGGTTTTCCTGATGTGGAAGGTGGGAAATAGTGATAATTTTTTTAAGTGGCATGATTTTCATCTATTGTACTTACCTTTTAAAAAAAAGACCTTTTTGTTTCTTGGTCTGAAAATACTTTACTGGCTTTTACAAACAGAAATCAAGGGAGGTAACAGTTAAGCTACTTTTCCTAAGAGCTCCCATTCATCGCTGTTCTCAGCTTGAAAGTACTGGACCTCTGTTTCTAAGTACATTACACAGAGCTGTGCTTTTCTTTACATCCCACGCATGATTACTTCGTTTATAGCATACTACAGGCATTTCGACATTTAGAAGGATAATCCTATAAAAATGTAGACAATTTTTAGGCAGGCAGATTTTTCTTTCAGTGTTCATATTGTAGGATGACCTTAGAATATATACTAAGCGTATGAAATTTTACTTTGTTGCTAGACCAAAAATTACAGTTTTAGACTGCATATCATCACAAAGTCATCTGAAGTTAAAAGTTAAGAAGGGGTGTGTTGGGGTTCTCCCTTTTATTGTGTGTCTGTCTTTTTGCCCCACATGTGTTAGGACACCTGTACGTGGCAGCAGCCCAGGTGTGAAGGTTTCCAGGGCAGTGCTGTGTATGTACACAGCTTAAGGGAAGTCTACTACACATATGAACGGAACACGATTCCCCTAGCTTTAACGAAGTCATGAACAAAACAGCCATTCCCTCCAGAACCTTTCCACATAACTTCTTGCTTCAATGAATAAGGATCCTGTACACAGTAATAGCAGTTTAATTTTTGAGCCATGCTGTGTTTATCTGTCCCTAAAATGAAAGAAGCAAGTTGACATAATAGACCCACGTACCACAGAGCAGTTTCAAAAGGTCTCTATTCAGGCCCCACCTGGTGCTTGGTTCTCTGCCATCTTGCACCTGTGTGTAAGCCCCATCTGTGGTCACTGAGTGGTGATGGTCATTACCTCTTGAAAGACGTCTTCGTCAGACTGAAGAAACCCAGGTTTGCACAGTCATTTGCACCACTGAGATTTGTGTGGACCTGATAGTTGTTTTGTTTGCTTTTATACTTTAGGCAATTTTGTTTTCAACAATCACCCCCACCCCCCTGCTGCCCTCACCCTCTAGACCACGATCCTGTTCATTATTCTGTTCTTGGAGCCCGTTGCCTAAGTACGTCACCTTTTTTTTTTTTTTTAAGATTTTGTTTATTTATTTGACAGACAGAGATCACAAGTAGACAGATAGGCAGGCAGAGAGAGAGAGGGAAGCAGGCTCCTCGCTGAGCAGAGAGCCCGATGCAATGCGGGGCTCAATCCCAGGACCCTGAGATCATGACCTGAGCTGAAGGCGGAGGCTTTAACCCATTGAGCCACCAGGCACCCCCTAAGTACGTCACCTTAAAAAGAAATGACACCTCCCTTCTCCCACCTGGTTCCTGCCTGTATGCCTAGCGCCCACTCACTGCCCTGCTCCTGAAGCTGTTATGGTAATGACCAGCTTGTACTTCCCTTACAATTCATCTACCACTTCATCCCTCAGCAGGCATCCCCTTGCTTTCTTCTTTTCTCTTCTGGCTAAATCTTACTGAATATTCGATATTTGTTCTAGGCACCCCTTCCATCAAGAGGTCTTCCCAGAGCTCTTTTTATTTTGTTGTCATTATCTCTATCTGTCCTCTACATCTTTAAAAAATAACTTTATAGGGATACGATTCTCATGCTATACACTTGGCTCACTTAAAACAGATAAGCCACTGGTTATTAGCATATTCATAGATAGGTACAACCATCAGCACAGTCATTTTTGAGAGCTCTTCTTCACCTTAAAAAGAAACCTTATACACTTTAGCTATCACCTTAGCTCTCTTTCAAGCCCCAAGCAACCACTAACCTACTGTTTTTATAGATTATCTTATTCTGAAGTTTCATAAAAATAACATCATTTATTTTTTTTAAAGATGTTATTTATTTGACAGAGAAAAAGAGAGCACAAGTAGGGGGAATTGCAAGCAGAGGGAGAGGGAGACGCAGGTTCCCAGCTCAGTAGGGAGTTCGATCCCAGGACCCTGAGATCATGACCTGAGCTGAAGGAACACACTTGAATGACTGAGACACCAGGTAGCCCAATAACATCATTTAATATATAGAGTCTATATTCTATATATTAGAAGAAGAATCTATATATTAGTAGAAGATTTATGTTTTATGTATTAGTAGAAGATTGGCTTCTTCTACTTAGTGTATTTTCAAGGTTCATCCAATTTGGGGCATGGATCAGTTCTGCGTTCCTTTTTATGACCTAGTAATACTCCACCGAATGTTATAGCACATAGTGTTTGTCTGTTCATCTGCTCGTGGACCTTGGAGTTGTCTCTACCTTTTGGCTCTCATGAGTAATGCTCATATGGACATTCATGTACAAGTTTGTGTGTGGACATATGTTTTTCTTTCTCTTGGATTTTTATCTAGAAATGGAATTACTGGATCACGTGGCAACTCATTTTGATGATCTGAGGAACTACCAGCTTGTTGCAAAACAGCTACACCTTTTCCATTCCCATTAGCAATGTTTGAAGTTTCTAATTTCTTGACATGTTTGCAACTCTTGTGATCATCTGTCTTTTTGTTCTAGCCATCCTAGTAGGTATGAAGTTGTGGCTTCATTTCCTTTTAGTTTCTTGTTTGTGGATTTTCTCAGCACCCATACATTGCTTTCCAGTATGCAGTGAGCACTTAAATGTTTCTTGGACTTGATTGAATGTGTAAGAACTGTCACTTCATTTTTTTATTTCAGCAAGTGCCCAGCAGGCACCTGTGATGGATGCTCATTCTATTTTCTGTGGGAGAGTGCTGAAGCTTGCCCTCTGTGCACAGAGCATGACTTCCATGAGATTGAGGGAGCCTGTAAGAGAGGAGTTCAGGTAAGGGACAAATCCATCTAAGCAGAGCTGTGTGATTGAAGAGAAATTGATGAGTTTGGTGTCACTTAAATCACAGAAACTCAGGTTCAAAACTGTGGCTAAAGCTTATAGTTAAATTAATGTCTCATTGGTATGCATTTAAAATCAAGTTTTGTTACCACCAATAAGGTTACCACCATCAGTGTGTTACACTGCATGTATTTCTCTTGTCATTAATTTTTTTCAAAACCATGATTTTTAGTTACTGACAGATACTCTATTATATATATTTTGGGATTTAATAAATCCCCTGTTGGACATTTGAGAGAAAATTTGAGAAGTCTTTTTGTAAACAACTGTAATGAACATCTCTGTTGGGAATGTGATGATTTCCTTAGATTTTATTATGAGAAAAAGATTAATTGGATCTAAGGAGATGGACATTTTTAAGGTTCTTGATACATATTACTAACATGCTTTGGTGGTATCCTTTTGCACTTCTGGGAGTAGTGTCTGAGAGTGCTTAGGTCACTGTACAAGCTTTGAGGAGTGCTGTGTGAAAAAACACAAACTTTTCTTCCTTCAAGATGTCTTCCTATTTGAACCTCTCTGAATTCTATTGAAACGACAAGAAAAAAAACACAAATGATAATAAATCATTGCTAGTGGTGGTAACCATAGTGGGGAATTGGCATCAGAGAATCAGATTCTGATGGGATTTTGGAAAACTGGGATAAAGTTGGAGTAGGCCTGACGTTCAGGTCTCCTGGAGTGGGAAGCGTGCTGGAAGGCTGGTGGCAAGAAGGGATCAGAGAGGGACTGCTGTTCTTTCCAGGAAAGTCTGGAGGAGCATATTATTGGCAGGTCAGAGGGCAGGAGTACAAGAAGAAGTCAGAATGCCCTACCTCATCTCCTGCATTCAGAGTATTAGCAGTAGCCTTTACGTCTGGGGGAAAAACACAGAGAGCCGTTCTCTACATAGGGATTTTTCAAGCTTTACATAGGGATTTTTCAAACTTTAATGACATTGAACCCATAGTAAGAAATACATTGCACAGAAAAGCTAATACACAGACTCCAACTCAGACACATAGCAATATGCCTAAAAATGAAGTGAAATTTCCTGGAACAATACTTATTTTTGTATTTGATAATAAAGTCTAAGCATAAATGTAATATAAAATGTGTTGTCATGAAATAATTGAATATAAAACAGGAAAGGTTCCCAATCTACAACAAGTAAAGAAAAATTAGGAATGTTTTATTTCATTCATCAAGTGTGCATCTTGTGCACAGATGAGCCAGTTTCTTGTTAACATTCTTAGTGGATCAAGGATGAAAAATCTTGGCTTACCAAAAAATGGTTTCTTTTTAGTCCTCATAATACTAATGATACACATTTTATGTCTCACAGTGGAAAGTCTTCTTGATCGTTTCTCTAAAATGATGATACCCTTATCATTTTTTAAGGAATAAATGAGAAACGGATGCATTCCCTTCTTTGACCATCATTTTAACTCAAGGGCTTTGAAAAGTCAGGTGATCTTTTATGTAAACATTCTCTAATATTCACCATTTCTCTTCTGGAAAGCAATGATAAGAACATTAAGACCACGGGGTTGCAATAATCTCTTTAATTTAACTCTCTTTATTGCCAAAATTCTGTTCAGCATGTTTTAAGAATGTTTGGAACAGATAGTTAGAAGGTGATTCTTTTTAAATATTTGCTTTTGCCTTCAAGATATCTTTAGGAACACTTTGCTGTGTTTGTCATATTGAAATACATAATTTCCCTCCTATAGTTCTAAATTTATCTTGAGAAATAAGTAAGTCAACATTTCTGTTATACTTAGATATGGATTTTGAAAATATTTGCCAAATGAGATCAGGCTTCAGTTAGAAAAATAGAAATGTTATTCCGAAGCTCATGTACCTTGCTTAGTGTGCTCAGTCGCAACAGCAAAACAAATGGGTACGACCCGGTAAGTGAGTGTTTATGTCCAGCCTCTGAATAAAAGATTTCAAAAAGTCTGCTCTTTTTAAATTTTTTTTATTTTTTTATTTTTTTTAAAGATTTTTATTTAATTATTTGACAGACAAAGATCACAAGTAGGCAGAGAGGCAGGCAGGGGGTGGGGGCGAAGCAGGATCCCTGCCCAGCAGGGAGCCCGATGTGAGGCTCGATCCCAGGACCCTGAGATCATGACTTGAGCTGAAGGCAGAGGCTTTAACCCACTGAGCTACCCAGGTGCCCCCAAAAGTCTGCTGTTTAGTGAGTTTTATGTTGCACAAATGACAGCTTTCACTGTTTTCCATCACAGTAGACCCTCCCCCCTTTTCCCCTGGGGGATATGTGCCAAGACGCCCAGTGAATGAATGCCTGAAACCACAGATAGTCCCGAGGACTACGTATACTTTGTTTTTCCTTTTACGTACGTATACACGTACCTAGGATGAAGTTTAATGTCTAAATCAGGCACAGTAAGAGATAAACAACTGATAATAAAAGAGAACAATTATAACAATATACAGTAATAAAAGTTATGTGAATGTGCTCTTTCTCTCAAAATATCTTCTTGTCCTGCGCTCACCCTCATGATGACGTGAGATGGTGAAATGCTGTGCGATGAGATCCAGTGAGGGCAGTGATGTAGGCACGTGACAGAGCATGAGGCTGCTGTGGACTTTCTGATGATAAATCAGAAAGATCATGTGCTTCCTACCTGAACCCACAGAAAGTCAAACTGCAGATAAGGGGGGGACTGCAGTAGGTTCAGGAACAAGGGTAGATTTTTTTTGGATGCCCGAAGCCTCATGGGAGAGAAAAATACAGTGATTGCAAAATATCGCTAATGTGTATTATTTAATTTTTTAACAATTTCCCTGTGTTTCCTGCTCTATACTCTATACAGGTTTTCTCTCTGTCTTGACTAAGAGTATATTTTCCCAATTCTGTAAATGTATCTAATCCAGGTGTGTATGAAGTTAAGTTTACACATTACAACAAGTCCTCCACAGAGAGGTTTGTAAACTAAGAGAGTGGCACAACTTGTGGGGAAAGTGTTCTTATCAACTTGGAACTTAGAAATCTATACCAGGTTCTCAGTGTGTGTAGTAAGCATTACTTCTAAATGTCACCCAGTCATGCAGATTTGAAGAGATACTGTGTTATCACTGAGAGGGATATTTTTAAGTTTATCATCAAGTTTATCTCACCCTGTTTGCAAAATATCCCAGCATGCTGGAAGAAGACAATTTTCAGCTGCAGAGTCAGCCATTTTCTCCTTTGCTAATGACGTGCGACTGGATGAAGCAATAAGGCATTCTAATTAATAATTAGGGAATGACTGAGAAATTTGGTCAATAGCTTGCTCTTTTTTTTTTCCCTGAACAATTTGGGAGCTTATGGAAAAGTTAAGTACTCTGAGTTTACAAGTACCTTTTTAATCCAAAGTTTTAACATTTTGTTTATGACTGCCATTAGACATTAGAGCTTTGCCAATTTTACCGCTATTGCACACTTGATAAAACTATGTAATGTATTGCACAGTCTTTTTTTTTTTTTTAAGATTTTATTTATTTACTTGACAGAGGGAGAAACAGCAAGAGAGGGAATACAGGCAGGGGAACTGGGAGAAGGAGAAGCAGGCTTCCTGCTGAGCAGGGTGCTGGGCTCGATCCCAGGAATCTGGGATCAGGACTTGAGCCGAAGACAGACAGACGCTTAACAGACTGAGCCACCCAGGTGCCCCTGCAGGGTCTTTTTTTTTGTTAGAATGCGCTTCACATGAAGCCAACATGTGCTGACTAGAGTTAACGTTTTTCTCTCTGTTGTCCTTGTTTACACTTAGAGATGTAGCATTTGTATTTGAACATGCCCCTCAATTCTCATCTCATTCTTATAAAAATAATGTGACCCATTTTAAAAGTGTTTTTTACATTAAATTTAATGAAAATGTTAGAGTTGTCATGCAGTAAAAAAATTTTAATTACTAATGACTTTTCTAAAAAACCTGAGAATTCTTATCCAAAACTTGGTTGAAACTTTTCCTTAAAGTAAATACTATTCTCCTGTACTTCATGTTTAATTATAGAAATATGTGTGCTTGTACAGGAAAATTACACATTAGGGTGTTATTCTTTTGTTAGGATATCATTATTATTATTATTTTAAACATTTTATTTATTTATTTGACAGAAAGAGAGCAAGCACAAGCAGGGGGAGAGGCAGGCAGAGGGAGAGGGAGAAGCAGTCTCCCAGCTGATCAAGTAGCCCAACGCAGGACTCAATCCCAGGACCCCAGGATCATAACGGAGCCAAAGCAGATGCTTAACTGACTTGAGCCACACAGGCAACCCCTGTTAGGATATTATTAAAGTGACCATCAGACACTAGAAAATTTAATTAGATACAATGATCAAAAAATTGAGTCTTCCATGTCCTTTAATGTCCCTGGATATAATCATCACAAAAATTACTACTGGTCATTATATTTGTTGAACTATAAAAGCATGCACCGTCCTTTAATTTTTTTTTTAATTTTTAAAGATTTTATTTATTTATTTGACAGACAGAGATCACAAGTAGTCAGAGAGGCAGGCAGAGAGAGAGGAGGAAGCAGGCTCCCCGTCGAGCAGAGAGACCAACACGGGGCTCGATCCCAGGACTCCGGGACCACGACCCGTGCCAAAGGCAGAGGCCCCAACCCACTGAGCCACCCAGCCACCACCAGTCCTTTAATTTTTGTTTCTGGTTAGTGTTATTTGATTTATTTATCTGAAAAAAAAATCATTAAAATTGGGGCACCTGGATGGCTCAGTGGGTTAAGCCTCTGCCTTCGGCTCAGGTCATGATCTCAGGGTCCTGGGCTCTCTGCTCAGCGGGGAGCTGGCTTCCCTACCCCCCTCTCTCTGCCTGCCTTTCTGCCTACTTGTGAGCTCTCTCTTTCCATCGAATAAATAAATTCTTTAAAAAATCATTAATATTCAGTATATTGATTTTATTATTCCCTATTTAGTTGCAACTTGCAGTTCGGAAAAACATTGTTCTAACAACACTGAATCATCTGGTTTGGGAGGATAAAAATAAGGACCTACTGTGGGCAGTAATGACCCAGAATAATGTGGGGAAAATAAGGGTGCAGTCTATGTGCCTGCCCCCCTGCCTCTTACCCAAGCCTGCTCATCATGGTGTGCCTGTGTGTCCTGGGTCCAGAGTTTGCTCTTCTTCTCAGGGGAGATGCTTGGTGGGGGAAATGGACCTACAGCATGGGTGGGTGATACCTATTCCCCTTAACTATATTAAACAACCTAAGCTTTCAATTAAAAACATGACTAAGAAGTCAGGAATCGGGCACCTGAGTGGCTCAGATGGTTGGGCGTCTGCCTTTGGCTTTGGTCATGATCCTAAAGGTCCTGGGATTGAGCCCCACATCAGGCTCCCTGCTTGGCAAAGAGTCTGCTTCTACCTCTTTTTCTCCCCACTGCTCGCCCTGCTTGTGCTCTCTTACTCTCTCTGTCAAATAAATAAATAAAATCTTAAAAAAAAAAAAAAGTCAGGGATCATAAGAAATTTGAGCAAACAAGCTCAAATGGTACGTCCAGACATACCTTTTTATTCAACCTCCTCAGATGGACCAAGCCTCGTGATCTAGCAATTCATGTTTTTTATTTGGTTTTGTTGTGTTTTTGTTTGTTATTCCCTTTTTCATTCTCTTCTCTATCTCTTTCTTCTCTTTCTGGAGCTTCTTCTGTTAGATGCATGCCAAGAAATCCTCTATGTGTACTATGAATAAGGGGCAGAACCCTTCTCCTTCTGAATCTCATTTCACATGTCATCTATGTGTGTGTGTGTTTTTAAAGGAAACCTTGTATGTATGGAATGAACCTAAATGGTGCATTAAAGGAGTTTCTTTGCCTGAGAAAAAGTTGTCAACCTGCGAAACAGTTGACTTCTGGCTGAAAGTGGGAGCAGGTGTGGGAGCATTCACCGCGGTTTTGCTGGTGGCTCTAACTTGCTACTTCTGGAAAAAGAATCAGAAGTAAGTAACTTCATTGGAGTGACCATGTAAGAACTGAAGGATCTCTTTTGTTGTGAAAATGTTAGACCTAATTGTTGTTACATCCAATAGTTTTTCTCAGAAAGATAAGAAACTGCTCCTATGAAGGAGTTACAGGAAAGACCTTTAAGAAAGGGAACAGGAATGATCATTATTCTGCTAATAGATGATAGAACATTAGAGGTGATTGGATTAGACCTATTTGTTACAAAATAGAGAAAAATGGAGGCTCTGGGTTATTCAAGTAAATGGGAGCAGAGCTGAGATGAGAGGTCAGGTTTTCTCTCTGCCTGTATTTTTCTTTTCATGACAATGTTGTGTCTTCTTGCCCTGATGTTTCTTTTTCAGTTTCTTGTGAGACAACTAAGTATGTAGGCAAATGCAATCTGTATTTACTCCAGAACTTCAGGAATCTAGGGTTGAATATTGAGCCTATTTCCTGAATATATATTGATCTGTTATGAGATTTGACTCTTCTAAAATGATTATATATCAGCGGGGCTCTGAAAGTTCTGTATTGTCGTATCACAAGGCCATTATAATATCCAAGGTGGTGAATTGAAAGGAATGAGGTATGTACAGAAACAAGAAAGACCAGATCACTGACCTCAGTGGTATTCTTATTCTTATGAACTAAACTTTGAAAAATCATATAGTGCCCAAGCTTCCAAATATTGATATATTAAGAAAACGCATTCAGACTTCACGGTTTCTCTTCGTTTTTAAAAAGTTCTTCATAATTGAAGAATTTAATCAATGTACAATAATTGATAGAGCTAACTATACTGCCATGATTCTCTGAAATCCTGGAAGAGATTTGTGTGTCGATGGTAGATAAATGGGAGCTCATAGTGCTTTGGCTATAAGTAGAGACATTGCTTAGTAGAGTAACTTTACCACAAGAGCATTTAACAAGGTGGTGTATGACCACCTAAATTGGTATTAATTTATATTAAACAGCCACTTTATTTGTTTACTATCACTTAGACTGGAGTACAAATATTCCAAATTGGTGATGACAACTAACTCAAAAGAATGTGAACTCCCAGCGGCAGACAGTTGTGCTATCATGGAAGGAGAAGACAATGAGGAAGAAGTTGTCTATTCCAATAAACAGTCACTACTGGGAAAACTTAAATCCTTGGCAACAAAGGTGAGAGCAAAATTTTAACCTGTATTACTGTTCATTTACTAACAAAGGGCCATCGTAACCTAAGAGTAACTTTCATACAACCCTGTCATTAAGTCTTTCTCTCCATGGATACGTATCCAACAGAAATATTCTTAGAAGTACACAAGGATATTGGGGAGTGAGCACTGTGTATTGTGTAATACTGATGAATCACAGACCTGTACCCCTGAAACAAATAATACATTATATGTTAATAATAAAAAAAAGAAATTACACAAGGATATACATTTAAGATTATTCACTGCAGCATTGTTCCCCCTCCCTGTTAACAGAGTCAAAACAACCTTATACACCATGAAAAAGGAGTTGATAAGAAATTTCCACGTAGCAAAATGATGGAGTCCTGTGTGACTAGGCAACTAGTAGAAATGGACATATGTATGTCCATAGGTCCAAAAGAAATAAAAACAACACAAAGACTATTAATATCTATTAAAGATCAATTTATGTTAGTCTTTGCAAAGCAGACTATAAACAATGGCTGCTTTGGGGGAGGCTTGAACCAATGGGAGTCTTTAGTTTTTGAAGTGGTACATTTTTATGATATTTGAATTTTCACAAAGATAATGTGTTGTTTTCTAATATTAAAAATTTTAGGTTAAAAAAGATCTTATCCACTCATTCTTTTTGTTTGTTTGTTTTATTTTGTATTTTATTTTGTAACATGTTTTTTTCACATAGAAAAAGTAAAATTATATAAACTGTTGAGGTATTAAAGGTACCTTATCAGATGCCATCATGTTTGTCAGCTTTGAAATGATTACAGTATCCAAACAGATTAACACTAAGCCTAAAATATTATTTGTAAACATATTTTGTTGACATTCTTTACCATTGACTTAAAAGATGAGAAATTACCAGTGTACCTACACGTAGCTTTAAAAATAGAATGAAACAGAAGAAAAGATGTGTTTCAAATGATTTTCAGCAGGCAGGACAGGTAACAAAAGATTACATTTATTGAGAATGTTTCAGTCACTATTTCCTTTTACTCTCCTAATTTAAGCACATAAATATATTATAAAGGATGATTTAAAACAAAATGAATAAGCCATATTCCCCTTCTAATGGTGATTTAACTTTGTTAGTTTTCACTGTCGTACTTTAGGAAGGAGGTTTTTGCTACGGAATAACAAATGTATAGCTAGTGTTAAGAACTGAAGATTTCACCCAACTTGCAAGGTAACAAATGAGCCTGCCACTCTTTCATGGACAATTTAGGAGGCACAAGACTCCTGGTCAGAGAAAAAGCACTCAATGCTCCCAGTGGACACACTAGCCAGGGTATTAGCATTCGTACCAGTTCCCCAAACCCCACTTTGCTCGGGGCTCTGTGAACAGGAACAGATGACACACACACACAGTGGCTTGCATTACAGGAAAGGAACTCTAGGCTTTGGGAACCCGACTTTTTTTGAACAGGCAGTAATCATGCCAGTCCTTTTCTGCAAAGAGAGATATTACTGTTACTATACTAGACAGTGTGTGTGTTCATTGCTTCAGAGGGAGACTCCATTTCCTGCCAGATGCTCTGGAAAAATATAATTCCTTGAGCTTCTAAGGCTGCTTTTTATACAAAGATCCTTAAAAAGATGGTCTTAAACAGAGGGAAATCACTGTCCTGCTCATAAGATCTACAGAAATGCGAAGAACCATGGAGAATTATCTCCCCAACATATCCAAACCTTATTTCTACACCATCTTGGCTCCTGGTAAATTTTCCCGTCAGTACAGCATGCTATCCACCATTCTGTTTAATCTGTTTGACTGAGGCTGGGCTCAAATCTGGCCAATTTACTGCATACATCATTTAAATAAAGCTACTACCATTAGGACACCAAACAGCAAGATGAGATGAACCTGAATTATTGACTTCAAATATAGCCCCAGGCTCCCAGATCCAACTAGCTGAATAAATCCCATAAACCATGAGGGTCCACCTTAGAAAGCTAGGCAGCTTTAAGTCCCAGTATTGACCTTTCTACTCAGCCTGAGACCTTTGCATTGGCACTGAGATCTTTCCTCTGTAAGATTCATGTGGAAGAGGGTCAAAGGTATTTTCAAAAATTTGCAGAACCCAACATATCTCCCACTTTTGTATACATGGCCATGGTACGGGAACTTAGTGAACAGGATGATGGCATTCCAGATACCCAAAAGAGATGAGTGACTGCACAGACTTCCTCTTGACCCTTAAGGGTAAAGTTGAGGGCAATTACATCGTCCATAATAATGTTTGAACCATGAGTTGATGTTGACCTAAATGTCATCAGAGGCTGAGGTGGTGGCATGTCATATTCTAGCTAACTCAGAGACAATTTTTTTACCATCTTTTCTGATTAAATAACTGCCTATAGGATGAATAGGAATAACACCAGTTACCCCTTCAGAGATCTCTGAATAACCAACAGTAGTCTCATTTTGAAAATCCTTGCAGTTGTCTAAATGTTGATGATATGTTGGGGCTATTTTCATGAATAGTTGAATTATGACCACTTATGACCCCTCGTAGGGTACAAGTTAATGACTGGCTTCTACATAAGAAGTACAGTCCTGAAGGTGCACAGGGTGCCTTTGGAAAGAAAGTCTTACGGTTGTTGGAAACACCAAGTGGGACCTGCATTAGTTAGGCAATACAGTCTGATGGTGCCTGCAGCCCCCTTGCTGACTCATAAACCTTAGGGTTCCCAATTCACTTCACATACTTGTGTCTCTTCTTTGTTTTTGAGAGGCTGCTTAAGGACTGTCAGTCCAACTTCTCTTGTTGGTCTATGCTGGAAACTGGGTGGTGCTTGTTCACTCCATGGAAGGACTGAGCAGAGGCAATGGGAATGTTGGTGTTGATGTTGTTATTCGGGGCAGAAGGTGGGGTCATTTCCTGCTGTTTCTTATAGATTTCTCAGTAAGTTTAAAGGGACTTCTATCTGATGGGTATGGTGGACCTAGTCTTTGACTAAGTTTAAAGTACTTGCAGCAGTTTGAGAAAGGAACACTAATGCACTATCCTTCATAGAAGGTGACAGGGAGACTCTGAAAAACAAATTATCATTAATATCCCTCCATCCTTCATACCTCTCAGGGTCTAAGGTATCTGCCCTCTAGGAACCTCATTATCAGACTGCATTGTTGATCTTCTTCCACTGCCAAAAATAAGTTTTCCCCATTTTAGCTAAAACTTCATCTTATTTCTCCTTATCCCTTATTGGAACCTAGACCTCTGCTCCAGAACATTCAAGTGCAAGAGGGACAAAGGCATTTAAAAAAACTTATGATGGAGACAAAATAGGTCTTCTACCTTTGTATGGGCTATGGTAGGAGGTCTTGATGAGCTGTATAGTCAACCAAGTGGTTGTTATCCTTTTGATCTAGAATCATGACATTTCAATAAAACAATATAGGTGGCTACATTAGGATTGTATTTGAATCTCCTAGACTACCTTCTGGCAGAGCTACCACCTGACATTCTAGGGGTTGCTTAAGTAAAAAGGACACCTCATGTCCATGAGTGGACAGGGTAGAATCCTGGGTTTTAAATAAATGTATATAACCTTATATAGGTGCATATAACCTTAACCATTTTACCGATAATTATACATGACACAGCCAAGAGGAGATGATCCCTTTCTGGGGACAAGCATGTTTAGTAACTGAACGACCTTATTAACTATGTGGACCAGGAGGAAGTAGCGGGGAGATAGAGTCAGAAATGTTTTTGATTCAATTTTGAAAAGGCCCTGGTTGTGCTCAATGATACCTTTCAACAGTATGAGGTGTGAAGATCCATTGAACACCTCTATGGTCAGCCCATTTTCAGGTAACTTTTGTGATATAAAGGGCACCATTGTTAGACTGAAAACAATCCTTAAAGTCACAAACACTAAAAAGGTTTTTTTCAAGGGCCATAATGGTGTGGCTCGAGTTAGCAGATCTGACTGGAACAGCAACCCCATAATGTGAACAGGTGTCAAAAGAGGTAAGGCGCAACTGATACCCCAAAGAAGTGATCAGAGGTGTGACCATCACTTTGCTATGGAAAAACTTGTCAGTTCTGGGCCTGAATGCTGAGTCTTGCATGCTTGGTAAACTCTGCATCTGCAAAAGAGTCCTTTACTTTATGCCCAGTGTGGGATGGCAGATTCATTGCTATGGCAGGCAGAATGATGGGTCCATGCAGCATTGTGGCAGTCTGTCCTATGCAATCTCTATTGTGTGCTTAATTCTCTTTGATCTTTTCAGATCACGAGTCCTTAATGCAAGTATCTACATGAGTGACCCAGATGATTTGATCAGCTGAGATTTGTTTCTGGAATTTGTTTGCACAGAGAGGAGTAAATTTGATGTGTTAAGTCTATAGTTTTCCAAGTGGCAGACCAAATAGTGTATTGACGCTTGGTGATAGCTCAAGAGTTAGTGGTGATCTAATAAGATTTATCAAGATAAGTACTGGCCACAGCTATGAGAATGGCTGTGGGTTCAGCCCACTAGACCAAACAATTTTGTAGGTTTTCAGTTATGTATACTTGGTGCTGAGATAGGACAGCTATAGCTGCTGGTGGACACCCACTGGGTTTCCACTTTTGCAAACCATCAGTGAATCAGGCCCAGACATAAGGTAGAACGTAGATAAACCAAGGACTAGAGCCAGTGGGTTCATTTTTGGAGGTAGAGTAAGAGACAGAGTTGCCCCAAAGGGGTATGCTGCCAGTTTTTCATGTGAGATTGAGATGCTGCTGGGCAGGACCAGCCATATTCTTGAATATACCACTTATATTTGATAAGTGAGACTTATTAGGTCTTTGCCACCTTGCTGACCCACCGTCAGTGTGACCATCGGGCTATAGACTCACAAGATGTGCACAGGAATGGCTTTCAGTTTTGACAAAAACTCAGTTATAAGCTCATAGCTGCTTTTCAGAAGGGCTATACCTGGTAGCCATATCAAGGTAATGAATCTAAAATCC